CAGATGCAGTAATTACTCAGAGTTTGAAACTCATGAATTGTACCAAGGTTCGGCTGCACTTCAGGCTCTTTCTGTCTACACCCTCTATGCCCTTCAGCCTCTCCAGCTCAGATCCCAAAAAGAGCACTGAAACATCCCACAGCAAGAAGGAGGAAAGGAAACAGCAACTGCAACATTTACTTTACCCACAGCAAAACATGCTGGTAGGCTCAAAAATAATAATCCTGTACCAGATTAGAGAGTTTAGTAATTGGTGTGTTAGTGTGGCCCAGAGGAACCACAGAAAAACACAACTGGCATAGAAATCTCCCAGTTTCAGGGGAAATAGTGTTGTATTAGCAAATGCTAATTACTGCCATTTTGCCTGCTACATTGCAGGTGCAGATTTTTTTTTTTCTGCAAATAATCTTTTTCTGTTCCTGATGTGCTTTTCCCATCAACTCTGACCTGTTTCAAACTCCTGCAGAAAACCCTGTGGGTTTGCAGTTCACTTAAATCAATAGCTATATATATGTTAGACAAATTAAAAGATTTCCAAGGACTGCAGTCTTCCCTCATTTCCTTAAATTAGATGCAGGCAGTGCAAGGAGAGGAAAATTTGATTAGTTTTGGGTGTACAAATTACATTAAAGGAAATGAAGTCCCAGAGTAGAGAATTAGGTAACCTGCAAAGAATGAGTAACTGTTGCATTTTTGAAGTGTGCTTCTCATTTTGCTGTGTTCATTTTGGCATGGAGACACTCACATCTCAATTCTGCATGTGGGGGAAGAAGGAGGATTTAGATGTCTAAGACAGCTTTGGGAACGTGGTATTTGTGCCCTCAGGAACTCAAAACCTTTGGCTTGCTAGAGACTGTTCCTCCCCTGTGGTTCAGAGATCAGCTGTTCACCTTTACACTCCATCTCTGTCTACTGGATTCATAGGAAATAGCTGTGTTTTTTTCTTTAATTGTATTGCTTTGTTCCAGTGGGAATTTGGCTGCTGGCATGACACCTTTGGGTTCCAGTGGGAAAATGTGTGCATGGGCCTTTGTGTATTTTGGATTTCCTGTACACAGTTGTCATCTTATGTGATGGTCATCAGAATTTCTCTTCCCACAGGTGCAAGTGTCATTCCACACAAATCTGGAGTTACTCAGGTATCAGCATTTGCCAGAGACCCAGCTGCTTCCTGGATGCCAAGTGCTCCAGCTGGAGAGTGGAGAGAGAAAGCTGAAGTTTCATCAAAATCTGGTCATTGAGCACAGTAACTGCACTACCCAGGTAAGGTCAGACAGGGTCTCTGGGCCCTGGGAAAGGGCTGTTTCAGCAGCATCTCTGACTTGGATTAGGATTTACTCAGCCTTGAATTACAGGTGGGGGTCACACCCTGGTGCCCCAGCTCTGCATGGCAGCCTGGGTGACACTCAAAGGGCCACACACCCAACCTCAGGATGACTCTGAGACAGGGGGCAGGGCTGTCTCAGGGAACAAGCCATGCCTGAGTCACCAGGCAATGCCTCCTGCAGCAACCAAGGGCTTCTGGAAAGGCTCCTGAGTCCAGTGAGCTCCTGCAGTGTGGTCAAAGCCCAGGTGCATGTAAAGACTGATCCCTTCCAGTCAGAAATCTATAACCCCCTTCAGCCTGCAGCACACTGCAGGCACTTCTATTTTCTTTTCACCCAGGTATTTCTGAGGCATGACCTGTGTAAGACTGAGCACCATACCTAAGATACAGTCAAGTGAATCATAACCTTGGGCAATCTGTACAAACTGAATGACTCACAGTGGGCCATACACAGTCCTGAGGGACCAGGAGATGCTGTAATGTCTGCAGCTCCACAGAAAACCCTAAAAACAAATGAGAATGTTCACTCTGTGTTACTTCATTAAGACCACAGTGTCTGGTTTGAAAACCTGCCCCAAAAAAGTAACACACAAGCAACAGCTTCATTCACTCAAGGCTGTAGAATGGGATTGACTCTAGTGTGAAAGAACACAGAACAATGATTCTTGATTCAGTGGTTGGGGTTAAGAATGATCCAGCTAGAGCAGGAATTACTAAAACTCTATAAAACTGAGGTGGGTTTTATTCTCTTTTCCCTTTCCCCTCTTTTGCAGCTGGTCCCAGTGACTGCCTACCTCACTGTTCCAGTCCTGGAGCTCTCCTGTGACAGGGTTGATTTCCAGACCTGCTTTGTTGCACAGACCAAGACAGAACATGTCTTCCTGTATAACAGGAGTGGCTGCAGAAGCTACTGGACTGCTTTGCTGGGTATTTGGTTTTGCAATTGATTTCCTTATGACAGAGTTTCACTAAGACTGCATGCACTCACTCAATATAGGGGCAGTATGTGATGATCCTGGGTGCAAACGTGGTCTGCTTTTGTTCTCACTGATGTGGGCTTTTTCCTTCCTCTCTTTCCCCTCCCTTTTTTGACATTATTGTACCACTACTGATTTCAGCAGTTACTCCACATCTAACCAAAAGACTGAGTCTCAGCCCTCAGAATTCTTGGACATGCTCTACTCATTTATAAATCAGTCCTGAGGGGCAACAAGAACCAGCAGCTCCTCATGGGTTGTTTGAGCATGAGCCTAATGCTGTTAATAATAGATGTTAATAACAGATTCCAGAGGAAAGAAGATCAGGGCCTTATTATTTCAATGTGGAGACCACTGATCACTGCCCTTGATTAGAAGATGAAAAGTCTGGGCACATGCACAGAAACCCTGACAGTGTGAGACATGATGTGTTAGCTGCTCAGCATTGCCATGAGTGCTACTTGCTGGACACAGTTAGAGGGTGTTCTATGGCTTTGTTTGACATTTGCCCCTTCCACTGCAGATGAACAGAAAAGCCCTAAAACCATGCAAGTATTTTCCATCTTCCCAACCAAAGGCATTTTGGAGGCACGTGAAGGGGAGGCACCTACCAGAGAGATTCTGCAGATCAGCTTTGCTGCAAGGTACAGTTAACTGTGACTGAAATTGTGCTCTTCACAGAGAGCTGGGCTTGTTCAGCCTGGAGAAGGCTCTGGGGAGCCTCAGAGCCCCTTGCAGTGCCTAAAGGGGATCCAGGAGAGCTGGAGAGGGACTTGGGACAAAGGCCTGGAGTGATGGGAAAGGGGGAATGACTTCACACTGCCAGAGGGCAGGGTTAGATGAGAAAGAACTTCTGCACTGTGAGGGTGGTGAGGCCCTGGCACAGCTGCCCAGAGAAGCTGTGGCTGCCCCATCTCTAGAACTGTTTAAGGCCAGGCTGGATGAGGCTTTGAGCAACTTGTTCTAGTGGAAGGTTTTCCTGCAGGGGCTTGGAAGAAGATGAGGTTTGCTGTCTTTTCCAACCCAAAACATTTCATGATTATATGATGACCAAAAGACTTTAATTTCTTTTTTCTGATTCGGGAGATGCAACTCATGTAAAAAAAAAAATCGTTTTTCATTACAAAGTATTTTTTGAGGTTATCACATGGTGGCAGCAAGTTAAAATAAGTCTATCCTGGTGATTTCAGTGAGCTCTGAAAACTGCTGACAGGGAAATTTCAAGCAAACTATAGGTGAGTTATTGCCATAATTCCCATCTCCTTGGAACACAATCCAGTGCTTTCCATCAGTGGAGCCACTGATACTGCAGTGGGATGGAGCCTTGAGCAGCTGCACTAAACTGTCCCTACTTAGAGGAGCATGGTGGTCCAGAAGCCTCCCCAGGGTCCTGACTGCCTATATTTTTCTGGAATTCTGCTGAATATGCCTGAAGCACTTCTTTTTATCTGACAAATGCACTAATCAGCATGGCTGAAAATGCCTGGAAATACCAGAAAGCAAAGATGTTTCTGTTTAGCAACCAGCTCATCTGTGGGGCTCCATAGAATGAATTCCCAACACAGCAGAGTGTGGGATCAGTGTGGCAGTAGGAGATAATTACATGCAAGGTGTGAGGTGATTTTAATAATTCACCTCCCCAGTTCAGTGGTCTTTCTGCAGGAGAACTGTTTTATGAGAAGGAAAAAACAAAGACTGGCAGAACAGGCATTTGCCTCAGGCCCTTACAACAGCTGGCACTTGGACACAGAGAAAGCCTTCACAGGGAAGTCTCAGGAGCACTGAGTGGCATTAGCCTTGGGCAAATAATGCTCTTCAACTTAGTGCAAAACTAGAGTTGTTGTAACCTTTTTGATGTTAATTTACAATTTGGACTCCACTGCCTGCCCCTTGTCTCAAGAGGAGTGACAGAAACTTTTCCCTTTAAACTTTGTCACAGGGAGGAGTTTTCCCATCAAGGCAGTGCAGGTGTTTGCTCCCAGCAGAGCTACATTTCATTTATTCACCTAAACCAGAATTTCCCAAGTAGGATGATATTCTCATTCTTACAAAACATGAATCCAATGTCTTCAGGCACAGATCTGAACATCCCTTTCAAACACCATGTACTGTACCCATGGAACACAGCCCTGTGGACTTGGCACTGACATTAGTGACCTGTGCTTGTGACTTGGAGCATTCTTAGGGCACCACTGTCCCCTTTTCATCTCATTCCTTAACACAGGACTGCATGTAGCTGTAACCTTTTGCTGTGCATTTTAGGAGCAACACTGACTATGAAGCAATTGTGACCATTTCTGGAATGCTGGAAGAGAAGCCTTGCAAGCTGCACCTCAGAGGGAGAGGAGTGCACTGTGGGAAGGTGCATTAAGCAGGACAATGTGGGACTAATGTCAAGGTAACAGGTTGGATGCAGATGTGCCAGCAGCTGAGCCTGTATTTTTATCTACTTCTGTTTTTAGTAGGGACTGGACTTTTAGCAGAATGAAAATTTAGGTTATGAGGAAAGAAATTCTCACGGTACCTTAACCAGTCATAATCACGCTGTGTACTTTTACTTTTATTGCTGTGATAAGCTCAGCTTTAGGCACAGAACAAGGTTTTAAATTGCAAAGCAGCTGTGTAAGTCAGGCCAAAGCCCTCTGCAGAGCCCAGCATACCTTGAATCACAGCTAAAGACTATTCATACCTTAAAGTAGCTTTTGTTTTGCCTCATTTATTTGTTTGACATTAAAATGGACATTGGCACATAATAAAACAAGAATTGATGAATAGGCCAGCATTTCCCAGGCTCTTTTCTCAGTGCCTTACATGAAAAAGGGAAGCGAGAACTTTCCCTGGTCTCCTTGGAAAATTACCAACCTGTGTGTTTCATCATGCTTGGGCCTTGAGAACATCCCCTTCAGCAACAGAGGGAGGAACCCTTCTTCAATTTCATTCTTTCCCCCCACATGGTTCCCATTTACTCTCACTTCTCTTTAAACTATTTTAGTATTATTTTAGCTAAAGGTCACTGGAATTCCCACTTCTGAGTTTGTTAAATTTTCCACTTCCACTAAATAAAAGGCTTTTATAAATGGCTCATTATTCCCTCTAAATAATTCAGTTTTTTGGCTCTAAGGGTCTGTGTGATTGCTGGGTGAGACAGGTTTCAGCATGGGATTGTGAAAATATCAGAGAGCTCTAACTCATCATGACCTTCAACTCAAAATCATCATAAAAAGGAAACAATTGTATTGCAAGAACCCAATTGTATTATTAAGTGCAAAAAGTCAGGACAAAGAACTTCAGTTTGTTACAAATTCAAAGCAGCAATGAGTAAATTTCTTTTTCGAGCTGAGTTTCAGTGATCTTTCTGTTCAGACAAGAGAAGAAATAAGGGATGACAAAAGACACAAGACAGAACATGTTTGTATTAGCACTGAAGGGCTGAGCTGTCACTGATGTTCATGTAGTGCTTGCAGTAAATGTAATGCTGCCATTTGCTTTATGTTAGGTAGGTAAATATGATTAAACACAAGATTGTCTTTGGACTCACACAACTGACACTCAGACATGTAAAAGAAGGAATGGCCACATCCAATCCTGGCTTCTAGCAATTCACCAGAACCTTTCCATTCAGGCATTTCCTGTGGAAATTATGTTCAGTCCTTCCACTTTGTCCCACTGGAGAGACGCTTCAGAGCAGCTCCACCAGCAGCAAGCTACAGCCCATCCTCCAGTGTAGGGACAATTTAACACACAGACAACTTCTGACACAGTTGTAAAGGCAAGGATGTCAAGTCTTTGCTTCAAAACAAGCTCTTTTAAACTTCTTACAAAATGGTGAAACCTTTTAAGGAAATGCTGGAAAACTCTTTTCACGTGGACTGATGTCTTTGTTTTGAATGACTCTTTTTGCCAATTTGTCACACAAAAATACTGTCCCATGAACTATTACCCTTTGGTAATATTCACAGAGTAAAAAGATCAATTAAATTTAAAATAATCACCACATCATTCATAATCATCACACCAGGGGCTGTAGTTGAATTTCAGCTGAGCTAATTAGTTATGTCAGGAAGCCATGTGCCAGTTCTGCATTTCCTCACCTTCTTTGCAGAACTGCACCATTAATTCTACTTCACAATTTCTGCCTAAAATTTGTAGATCTAGTAACAAATCCCAGAACCCACTTGATTTCAGTGGCAATCACTTGCCAGGCCTTGGGAAGGCAGAGAGGGAGCTGTGGTGGTGTTGTGTCAGCACTGGAGCTCACTTCACTTCCCCGGGTACTCGAACACGGCTGCAGCTCCCATGCCGGTTCCAATGCACATGGACACGACTCCATATGCTCTGAAACAAAGAGCACGTGGAATTAAGGAAAAGAAAAACACAGCTCAGGTTCACATCATCCAAGGAAAAGATAAAAATAAAGAATACAATAAATTTGAGCTGTCTACTGCTCTCCTGTTTCACTAGGAGAGCCCTGGGGAATTCAGGTTCAAAGCCAACCATGGGATGGAGAAAGCTTAACCCAGAGGGACAGATACCTGATCCAAGGGATGGAGGAAGCTGAACCCAAAGGCACAGATACCTCATCCAAGGGATGGAGGAGGCTGAACCCAACCTGGTGCCCCTGAGCCTGTGGGAGCTGCACAGGCAGCAGGTGTGAGGCAGTGCTGATGCTGAGCTCTCACCTCTTCCCTCTGCGCTTCAGTTCATGGAGCAGAGTGACGACCTGCCGAGCCCCGGTGCAGCCCAGGGGGTGTCCCAGGGCTATGGCTCCTCCCAGGGGGTTCACCTTCTCCATGGGAATGCCCAGCTTCTCAACACAGTACACAGCCTGCAAAGACACAGGGAGGGATTTCATGCAGGTGCTCTTGTCTCCCTTAGTTCTCAGCTCTCCTCCTGCAGCTCAGAGGCCTGAGCCCAGCTCGACCATCGTTCTCAGGGGAAAGGAGTGGAACTGATCCAAGGCAGAGAAGTGAGCTAAAACTGTTCACTTATCTCAAAATGAGCCCACACACATTCAGACAACCTGACAATAAATCACAGACCTGATGAAACAGATGTTGCAAGTTGGTATGAGAGCACAATAGCCAATTCTTACTTAGTGGACTTTTTTTTTTTCCTAATATTAAGCTGTATAAGCAATGCCCTGGTCATTTTTATTTGAAGGAAAAGGAAAATAGTCTGCACATGTTATTAACATTTGGCTGAAGATGTAATATGTGGAACAAGTTAAAAATCTCAACCTGGAGATCAAACTGAAATACACTCAGTTGCCAAGCAATGCAGCAACACAAACATGATGCTCACTCACCTGGCTTGCAAAGGCTTCATTAATTTCATATATATCAATGTCATTCAGAGTCAGACCTATGGGCCAGATAAGTCAGGAGTTAAAAGGAGATCCTTTTGCCTCATGACTATATCAAAGAGAGTAATTGCCTGACAGCCTCCCTCCATGAATTCCAGTTCTACTCCATCTAAGAAAGAGGAGCCTTAGCTCCATGTGGGGTATCTACACTTGAACAAGTTTATGTACAGCAGTGTCTAAAGACTGCAAAACATCCCAGTTCGTGGCACTGTGCCACTGAGCCTACCAAATTTCCTCAGATTAAGTGTGATTTCTCTGCAGAGGGATTAAGGATTGAAGGGTGTTTGGAGAGTGGAAGATAAAGCTACAGGTGGGCATAGGACTGTAGCCAGGCCAGGCTAAATCAGCTCAGCTCATCAAGTACAAAAGCTGGTTAATCCAATGAGTGTGGTAAAAAACCTAAGATGACAAAACTGTACAGAGAAAAAACCACCAAAAACCAAACACAAAACCACCCCCTAAACATTGGCCATAATAAAGGAGAGAAAACAGCACTAAGTGAGCACTGAATCATGTTGCCACATGTCAACTCTTGCCACATGTCAACTCTTGTTGAGTCTGTGCAGGGATTTACTCCTGAGCTTCTCAAACGTGAGTGAATGACAATTTACACACCAGTACAAGGCAAAGGCATTGCAACAATCTGAGGCAGGACCTTTTTTACAGTTTCAGATTTAACTTCACTGTTCCTGGGGCCAACAGCTGCACAAGCTTGAATAATATAACCTTAAATCTCAGTGCAAGGAGTCTGATCTGCTTTGCCTGAATGCCAGATGGTTCTCACCTGCCTTTTCCACAGCAACAGGGATGGCATAGGCTGGCCCTATGCCCATCACATCAGGTGGCACTCCCACCACAGCAAAGGACCTCAGCACCCCCAGCACTGGCAGGCCCAGCTGTGCTGCCTTGGAACGTTTTGCCAGGAGAACAGCAGCTGCTCCATCACTGACCTGGCTGGCATTCCCTGTTGGAAGAGACCTGTTAACATGCTTTTTGTTCCAGGAAAGGCAGGTAAACCAGAGGAACAGCACAAATGGAACAGCTGAGCTCACCTGCTGTAGTGCTTCCATCCTCTTTGAAGGCAGGTTTCAGCTTTGCCAAGCCTTCCAGTGTTGTGGAGGGTCTGATCCCTTCATCTTGGTGCACAGTGATTGTTTTTTTGTTGCCCTCATTATCTGCAACAGTGGTCTTCACTGGAACAATCTCTGTTTTAAACAGTCCCATCTGCTGAGCTTTTGCTGCTCTGGTGAAAAAAAAAAAAAGGTGTATGAAAGTATGAAAGGTTAAAATATTCTGGAGGTGAAGTGCAGGAGAACTAAAGTGAAGGAAAGCAGTTAGAGAATGAACTAAGGTGGGATTTTGTTACTGTCATATTTTTTAGAAAAATTTCCTTGCGCAGGATTCTTCTCCTGGGAAGCTGAGAAGCCTCAAAGAAAAAGGAAAACAATATAATCTCATTTGCTTCTCCTGTGTTTTGCTGCTTTGGAATGTGTTTAGACATTGTTTACTAACAGGTGATTGTTTCATTGATTTCATGTGAATTGTTTTGACTTAATGGCCAATCACAGTCAAGCTGTGTCAGGACTATGGAAGGAGTCACAAGTTTTCATTATTATCATTTAGCCTTCTGTCTGTATCCTTTCTGTATTCTTTAGTATAGTTTAGTATAGTATTCTTTAATATATTCTAGTACCATAAAATAATAAATTAGCCTTGTAAAAACATGAAGTTAGATTCATCATTCCTTCCTTCGTCTGGGAACCCTGCAAATACAAGAGGATTTGGTACATCATCACTGAGTGACAAGACAAACAGGCAAATTGTTACTTCCATTCATGGAAAGACAAACTTCTTGTTACCTCTGCATCAACATTATGGGCATTGTCCCTAAATCTGGATCACAGATTTCAGAGCAATATCCCCATTCTGTTCCCATCAGCACCTCTCTGCCTGACTGACCACCACCAGCATCCAACGTGAAGTTTTATTTTTTTCAGGGGTACAGCCACATCACAACCGTAAGAAAATAAATGAACCCTGAACTAGCAGCAGTCAACAACTGTCATGACCAGGCAGAATACAATTAACTAAACCAGAATCAGCTCAAGCCATGTAGATTTAATCTTTCCTATCAGCAAGATATTTTAAAAATCTAAATAAGCTCTTCAAAGCAGAGCTTATTTAGATTTACCTTCCAGAGGTGAATACTTCAGAGAATACAATTGGAGACTAAAAGTTTGTTTTATCCCTTCATCACTTTGCACTTTTACCCATAAAAAATGAAAATATTCAATGCTCCCAGGTAAGTCAGAACTGGAGCAAAGGGCTGAAGGACAGGTCAGTAACTCCACAGATATCCTGAGACCAAGGCCAGAAAGTCACCCTTGCCTCATGTGAGCAAGGATCACATTCACAAACCCTTCTGGTTATCAGTCCCATGGCAGTGAGAAAGGCTGGCATGCCAAGTTCCCTGAGCAGCAGGGCCGGAATTTAAAGGTTAACTACCCTGTGCAGTGGCTTCCTGTGTTAGATAAATAATTGGACCAGGCTGATGCTTGGACAGAGCTCTGAAAGCAAGTTTAACTCTTTGATGGCAGGAACTCTACCCTATCACCTGCCACTGCTCTGGCAGCACAGCCCCACAGATTCCAGGGTCAGTTGATTTTGGCAGTGATTTAACCCAGAGGAAGGTTATCAGAGGTAGGACTGAACTCACTCAGAGCCAAACACCTGCACTGAGGACAAGCCACTCTTCTCACAAGCTCAGCAGTTCCCTACCAACAGCCACAGTCAAATATTCCCTCATGGGAAAGGCTCCTCCTGCTGCTGCTCCCATGTTCAGGTTCCAGTGATCCTGAGCCAAAGCCACTATGAAAATACCTCACCAGGCACTCGTTCCAGAAACCTCCCTGAGGTTCTGTCACAGAAACACAGAATGGTTTGGGTTGGAAGGGACCTTAAAGATCATCCAGTTTCACCCCCACTGCCATGGGCAGGAACCTCTGGATGCTGGAACAAGCAGGGCACTCACTGTTCAGGGTCTGTGTGCCCAGTGATACTTGTGTGAGATCACTGATCCCACAATCCCAGTCCAGCTCTGGACTCCAGTTCCCCCATCACCCACAACCCCACACTGCATTTCAGCTGGACCCCCCTCAGGCTTCTTTGCTCACTGTTAAGGACTGGAAGGCAACACAAAGGCTGCACTTCACCAGGAAGTAGCAGTGTGTTTTCTAGCTGTTCTTATTTCTTAACTAAAAGGTTAAAAAACCCCAAAAGACTAACAAAACCAGCATTTACTTTTGTTGGGAAGCCAAGGCAAAGGCATCTTGCTTCTTCCGGGAAACTCCAAACTTCTCTGCCACATTTTCTGAGGTTATTCTGGGGAAAAACATCACAGAGTTAATCCAAGGACACATCTCATGGAGCTGCACTGGCTTCTACTAAGATCACATGAGGTATAAGCAATGGCTTTAGCTTGAAAGCCAAAATATGATGAAGCACAAGATTGTCCTTGGAGTCACACAAAATGACACTCAGACTTGTAAAAGCAGGAATGGCCACATTGAAACCAACTGCTGCCTTCTCAACTCAGAACTGCTGGCAGAAGCTAATCCTGAATCCAATCTAGGACCAGAACAAGGTTCAAATCTGTTCTCCTTGCTCAACAAGCCATTGATCTTAAGACAAGAAAATCTTTGATCAGAGTTGTTGATTTCCCCCCATTTCACATCATTAATCTTCCACCACAGCCAAGGATGCCAACACACACAGCTCCAAGCTCACCACATTCAGGTTGATTTGTAACTGTGGTGTCACTGAGGAGACAGCATCTGTTAAACCCTTAAACTGTGGGAAGGGGAAACACTCACCCCATAGGAATAAGGCAATCTCGAGCTTTGGGGTTATCCATCATGCTGGAACTGATATCACCAGGGTTATTTGCACTTCTGAGGGACATTGTTTCCACTCTAAACACAAGAAAAATTAGAATTGCTCCATTAAGACTGATCAAAACTCAGTATCCTGACAACATGCTTTCCCATTATCCCACAGAAACACAGCTGCTAATTAGGAACTGGCTGAGGCAGAAGCTCTTTAATCATCAATTTAAGAATTATTATGAAATGAAAACAGATTGTGAGATTCAATTGGTTCTTGCTTCACTAGAACAGGATACCAATGTCAGCAGTTAATTTCTTGTGTTTCCACAGCTAGGAAGGAATTGCTATGATTCTGGCACATTTGTCCTCAAACATAATGAGGTTCAAGGGCTGGAGTTTTCAGTGAGATTGCCAACAGACATAAAAATACCACTCAGATCTTAAGAACAGGTTGGCAGTAGAAAAAGAAGTATTGAGCAAACCATAGCAAAGAGATTTCAGTGAGTTGCACCATTTGTGTTTTGCAATAGAAAGAATTTCAGACATGGATCCCACAGGGTGCAATCTTTGACCCACAAATGAATTAACACATTGAAGATACTCAAATTTACTGCAGAAATACAAAGCCATCAGTTAAGACTCATGAGCTTTTGTAAGATCAGTCTAGATCATGAGGCCTACAATGGGAAGAGAGTTTGAATTCTACTCTGCACCACACAAATACCTTCATGAAGAATAAATAACAAAGAAACTACTCCTGGAAAATGAAAGGCAAGCAGAAAGTAAGGCAGCTTGTACTAAGTGCTATCAGCAATTTAAACTGTAAAATTAGCTCTAAGATGGGACACTCCATCATTGACTTCAGCTGCATCTGCTCCTGAAGGAAGGCACAGGACTGGGTTTTAAGTAAGTGAAACCCCAGCTACTGTTTCTTGTGTTTGAATCCAGGGTTTCTCCACTCTGTGGAAGAGTAAGACTTGGGATAAACCCAGCTCCCAAAAGCTATTTGTAACTTATGGGTTGTATGTCTTCTACAGGGCAGAGGCCAGAGAGCTTCCCACAGCAAAACCCAGTGTCTGGCACAGCAAGGAGTGCAAAGGCCATCAGTCCCTTTAAGCACAACATCTTGGTGGACATTACTGTGTGCAATAATAATTAATGACAGATTAGAATCATCAAGTTATAAAAAAGAGAAACCCAGTATTTTGGCCTCAAGATTACTGAATAGTTTTTTTTTTCACTCCTTCTTCTGAAGTCAATGTGTATGTGGTCACTAGTATTTCCCCAAAACCAACCTAATGTTTACATAATCCTCCAAAAAATAAACACAGCTTGTGATGTTAGGACTGCAGCACAGAACAGCTCATCTGTCCAGCACAGAACAGATTCTGTATGTCTGCAGAACACTGATTAGCACACATAGGATATTAATTTCTTCATCCAAGAGAGAGTTTTTCAAGAGGCTAGTTAATTGGAGATTAGCTATAAAGCTAATTTTTTGGCAGGCTATTGCACAGGGACAGAGTGTTACCTTCAGGAAGCCTAAGCAAGCACTATGAAAATACTTCCTTACCCACAGGCCAAGCCAATGTCATAGGATCCATTTCGGATGCCACCTGTAACAGCAGTGCATAAATGTTCTTACTGTCAGCAGGAGCAAAAGCATTTCCAGCCCAGCCGCAGCTTCCAAACACCTGAGCACCCACAACAGCCAAATGGGCTTTTCCTCACCCTCCTGCCTGCCAGAGAGCCAGGCCAAGGAGCTGATGGGGCTGAAGGCTAACATGGGGCCAGACAGAGCTGGAAGGATTCTTCTGGAAGCTGCCTGATATGGAGGTGATGGTGGAACTTACCCCAGAAAACCAAGTCACTTCTCTAGGGATAAACTCGGCCACTCAAGGATATAAAAGTATTTAGCTAATACCACACTGCAAATTCCCTACAGCACAAGATATTACCACTGTTTCACTCTTCAGAGACTCTGGAGGACAGGAGGCTTGAGCCCTTGGGGTGGGACAGGCATCAACTCTGATGCCAGTGCCCACAACACCTACCAGCTATGTTGATAATGGCCTGCAGCCCGGAGGAGCACTGCCTGTTCACACTGGAGCACGGCACTGTCTCTGGAATGCCACTGGAAAACAAGGGAATGTTGGCAAAGACTCAGTGATAAAAACAAACAACAACAACCCAAAGCTCCAAAGAGTGCATGAATCCACCTGATTAAACTTTAACCCTCAAGTTCCAGGCAGATCCCTCTATCCAGTTCGTGATCTATTTGGTCCTGCACCAAGGGAAAGCAAAGTTCAAAGATAATTTCCTCACTTCACCTGCAAGTGGCTCCAAGTGCTGTTTCCCCATGGGTCTGTCTTCAGAAGGTGCTCTGTAAGCAACACCCTGCCCTGGAGATCCTGAGCTCTGACCCAGGCCAGAAACTCTGAAAAGTTCTGCAATATTCATAATATTCATAATTATGGCAGGCTGTGCCTGCACCTTTTTGAAGTGGTAGTTGTGCAGTGATTGACAGAAGCAAAGAATGGCAACAGGAACTGACTGAAATATTTGGAATCTGGGATCCAGCAGAAATCTCTGGAATCTGGGATCCAGCTCAGTACAAGCCACTGACCAGCACTGAGCAATGACAGAAAGATCTGAGCCCATCCATGGTTTTGGGAGCAGCAGAGAGAGGTGCAGCCTCAGAGAGTGCAGCTGGGAGCCCACAGAACATCGTGTGCCTCTCAGAAGCCCAACACAGGTAGCACAAACACATCAAACAGCTTCACCTGCCTCCCTGTCTCTTTGCCACCAGCACTCAGAGCTCAATCAAAGTCCAGTTTCTAGGCAAAAGGTGATTTGCTGCAATTCCTGGGAGTGCATGAACCCCACTGCAATCTCTGACCCTGTGCTGCTCCATGGCTCAATGAGGAGAGGAAGAACCTCAGTCTGGCTGAGAGCTTACCTTAGAAACTGTGCAACTCTTGCAATCAAGGCACCAGCTCCAGGCTGCAGCACATTCCCTGAATGCAGAGACACAATCCCAGTCAACTGGCTGCACTCCCCTCACAGGCATTGAAGGGATGTTCCCATCACCACAGCTCGGTACTGCCCAGCACCAGGTCAGAGCCCCACCACCAAGAGGACAGGCATGAAAACCTAATGTTACACACTAATCCCTTCCAGCCCCAGGAGATTTGTGAGTATCCCACATGGGGAGCCTGTCCCACAGAGCTGTCCAGAGCAGGAGTTTCACCAGGCAGAGGCTGTCACTCACCCACACAGATGTCTCCCAGCACCTCAGGACGGAGGTTGACATCCTGAAGGACAGCTGTCATCACAGCAGCCAGCAGCTCATCAGGTGTTGTGTCCTAAAAGCACAGGGGATCAGCACCACCAGTGAACACCAGTAAGTGCCCTGTCACCAGTTCACCCTCAGAGCACTTCAGAGGCCAGCTTTACTCCACTCCTCAGCTCACTGTGGTTGTTATTTCCCTACCACAGTGGAATTATTTGCATGTTTTTACCCCGGGTTTCCTTCAGGCCCTGCAACACACAGGCTGCTTTCTCACCTTCCTTGGATTTATAGGAACACACTCTGCAGGGCCTTCAAAATCACACAACTACAGAGATTTATGTGACAAGACCCAGCAAATGGAGCCCCATTTGTTTTGTGAAAGAAGCAGGGGTGACCGCTCAGCTGGTGGGGAGCACCGCCAGCCTGAGGAGACCTGTTTGGAAGGGTGACAAGGAACAAGGAGCACCCTCTGGGGTCAGCCTGGCACCGTGTTCTTCCCCAGCACCCTGTGAATGAGAAGGTCCCAGAAGCCGTGCAGGTGAGGGACACCGCGGGTGCTCCGTGTGGCAGGGCAGGTGACAGCGGACTGTGACCGCTGCCCGGCTCCTTCGGGGGATGCCACCGGCATCCACTGCCACCCCGAGCATTAAAACCATCACACAGCGCTGGGATTTACTCTTCCAGAGCACAGCAGCGGTGTCTGGGGGTCAAGCAGGGGCCCAGCACCCAGGAGGGGAGGCGAAGAAGGGGGCAGCCCATTGCCAGCGGGGATGCCAAGCCCCTGTGGGGACCCGGCGGGCAGGGTCCCCCGGGCCGTACCTTGAAGCCGCCGCGGCGGGCGCGGCCGATGGCGGTCCTGCGGCCGTGCACCACCACCACATCGTCGGGGCTGCCGGCCCGCGGGGGGCCCCCGGAGCACGGCACGGCCCTGGGCGCGGCCCCCGGGCCCGGCGCGGCCCCGGCCAAGTGCCCCAGCACCAGCTGTGCCCGCCGCGCCGCCGCCGCCATCTTGTCACGGGAGCGCCTCGCTCATTTGCATGATCCCGCCTCCTCATTTGCATACCGAAGAGCGGGGCAACGGCTCTGCTCATTTGAATTCCCCGCCCTGCTCATTTGCATGTCCCTCCCCCCGGGGGCTAAACCGCGCTCCGCCCGCGAAGCCAACAGACCAAGAGAAAGAAAAAATAAAAAGGGGGAAATAAAGGAAAAAAGGAGGGGAAAAGGGAAAAAAGGGAAACAAGAAAAACAAGAGGGAAAAAGGAGAGGGGAAAAGGTGGGAAAAAGGACAAAAAAGAGGGCCAAAAAAAGGAAAGGAAAAAAGAAGAAAGAAGAAGAAGGAGAAGAAGAAGGAAGAAAAAAGGAAGAACGGGGAAAAAAAGGGAGAAAGGAGGGGGAAAGGAATAGGACAGAGAAAATGGGGGAATGAGGGGAGGAGTTGGAAAATTAAGATGAACTAAAGAAAAATACTCCAATTTTTAAAATAAAAAGAAATTAATTCAAATAAAGGAAAATTAAGTTTAGAAGCACAAAATCCTGTGCATTTGGAGGCCAAGGTGGACTGTCAGGACAAAGGGACATGCAGATCCATTGGCTCAGAGAGTTGCAGAGATCCATCTGTTCCAGAAAAAGCCAGGAACCATCCAAGCTTTGTCACTGCCCCCAGGATGGTGACACCAATGCCCCCTGTGCCCCCCACCCTTGCTGGGAGCTGCGCTGTTGGGAAGGGGCTGTGCCTGTGAGCAGGGGACAGGCAGTAGGAACGCAGGCTCATGGAGTCATTAAGGATAGAAGAGACCTCCAAAATCATCAAATCCAACCATGCTCATCACCAAACCACATCCCACATCCACATTCCAGGGATGGTGATGGCAGCACTCTCCTGACAGCCTGTTGCCGTGTCCTGCCCCACCCCACCCCCCAAAAGGAATTTATTTCTCCACGGACACGCAGCAGCGCACAGGGAAAGCCGCAGGGCCCACTACGGGCAAAACAAAATAAAACCAAACCAAACAAACAGAAAATGACTTTACATGGTAGAATAATTCCATTTGCTTTTCCTAGTTCCATTCTGTACATCAGAACACTGCAAGGGTTTTACAAACCAGAAAGGCAAAGGCACCTGAGGAGTGTCTCACACTCACACTCACTCACACACACTCACACGAGCCACATCCATCCATGGGAGGATTGAGGTGGTTTGAGGGCCCTGGGAGCATTTTGGGACAGCCAGGAGCCCCCTTTGGCTCTCAAATCTTTGGAAAGAAGGGAAACACCCTCCCACCATTGAAAGGCTGAGAAAACCCGAACCAAACAGATTTAATGAAAGAAGAGAAAACAGCTTAAAAATGGTTTTTTGTTTTTGTTTTTTTTTTTAGCTTTGGTGAACACACACTTTGTTACCCTCTTCTGCCAAACCCGTTCCCAGACAATGCCGATTTTTTTTCCCCTTGTGTTTGTTTCCATCCATCCCATATTACTGACCAGACTGATGGATTTGGTCCTATTCACAGAATAAAATTCTTCATCCCCCTCAGCAAAAGGAGACTTTTCCCCTCCCCCTGGGGAGCTGCCCATCACCCACATGGCTGACTGACACAAGCCCCAGTGCTGCCCCAGCACTGCCCCCCAGCTTCCCCAGAACCTGGCCTGGAATAAACAGCCTCAGTAGCTTTCAGACAGATTTATAGGGAATTCTTTTAGGTATTTCTTTTAATTTGCCCTAATACTCAGTGTTGTTTTTTTTAAAATGGAACTAATCCTTGAAATCATGAAATCTTTGAATGGTTTGGGTTGGAAGGGACCTTAGAGCTTATCTCATTCCAACCCCTTGCCATTGGGCAGGGACACTTTTTCATTAGACCAGGTTGCTCCAAGCCCTGACCCTGAATGTTTCCAGAAATGACACCCACAGCTACACTGGGCAGCCTCCTAAACCTTGCTTCTCTGTTCAGAGCTGAGGACATGGATATGCTCTCACCACCACATCAGTGATGCAATTCAAGGACGTGTTCACACAAACAACCCATTTGTCACTTTCCTCTTAAGTCTAAGTAACACTTTTCATTTTCACTGAAAACCAGCATTAAAATAAACCTGTGTCTGACACAGTGGCCTGAGGATGGAGCCTCCTGGTAACTGCTTTTTGGACCCTTTGCTGAGTCAGTGGAAAGAGCTAATGCAGCAGAGAAGGGGAGGTAGGATAGTGCAATTAATTTATCCCAAACCCCCCAAGATCTGATTGATTAATTAATTAACTAGCTTCCAGGGACTCTGTGTGTGCTTCCTGCCCAGGTTTTCCAGCAGGGCAGTGCTGGTCAGAGGCTGTAGCTCAGCTCTGCTTTTGACTGGCCCATTTTCTCATACAACTTCAAACCTACTGAGGGAAGGAATCTGCTTTCAGCTGCCCTCCACTGCTGCAGCTCCGCTTTCCCAGTCTGGGGCTCCATTGTCCTGCAGCTGCTGCTTCGGGCATCATCATGGAAGAGATGCTCCCCTTCCCTGTACCTGGGGATGGTCCACAAGGCACAGAGGAGGAGGTGCCTGGAGGAGGACTCACCCAGATTCACAGGCATCAGTCCTCTCTGCCTAATTTTAGGCACTCTCTTGGGTTTTACAGAGATGCACTGGGCTCTCCCTGCAGCTCCATTTCCAGAACACGATGGCATCTTTCCAACCCCAGTGCAGCAGCAGGGGAATGGCTCAGCAGAACTGTGGCTATGAGCAAAGCTGTCCTTGCTGAGATCCCCTTCAGCTCCCACGTGAATCCTGATGGCTCCCAGCACAACCTGGCTGCTGCTCAGCCCTGCCCACACAGCATTTAACCACCACCACCACCACCATCGTTTACCCATCCCTCAGCCCATGGCAGGGGTCCCGGGCATCCGTCCGCGGGCGTACCCAGCAGAGACCTCCTGCACCCCGAGAAGACCCCCTGGTTCCCAGACTCACACACACGCACACACACACGCCAAGGCAAAGTCAACACGGCTGCTGCATCCTCACACCAGATCCGAGCCGAGCATCACTCCTTGATTGTAACCGCGTAAGGCACAGGACAGTGTGAAACGCCGCCCCGCCGGCCGCTCCAGCGGGGTCGGTCCCCTCGTGAACGGGGACGCCCAGGTCCCCCCGACTCTGCGGTCTGAGGATCATCTCCTCCGGCTTGGCTGAAGGCCCTGTCTGTTCCTCTGCGAAAGGTGCTGATGGCTGCTGAGCATCCCATTCCCCCACCGCTCCAGGGGATGCCGCCGGCACCGCCGCCGTGCTGAGGGGACATCCCCCGCTCGCTGGGGAGGACATTTCCCCGTTGCCGGTGGGGACATTCTCCGCTCGCTGAGGGAGACATTCCCCGCTCGCTGGGGGGGACATTCCCCACTTGCCTGGGGGGACATTCCCCACTCGCTGAGGGGACACTTCCCCCTAGCCGGGAGGACACTCCCCATCGCTGAGGGGACTTTCCCCGCTCGCTGAGGGGACATTTCCCATTTGCCACACTTCCCCCAAGAGAGCAGTTACTTGGCGAGGGGGGACGAGCCCGGTACCGCTGGCAGCAGGGAGGTTCCGTGGTCCAGCACCCGCACAAGGCCGGGAAATCCCTCGCTCTGAATTCCCCACAGTCCCGAGCGCAGCTTGAAAATCCAACAAGGCGGCGGGGCCGAGGCAGCAGCGAGCGAGGAGGGACTGTCAGGACAGCCCCGGGTGAGGCCCGACCTCCCCACACGGCGCTCCCCGTCCCCGCTGGCAGCGCTCAGAGCCCGCAGTTGACAAAGGGGTGCCTCAGCAGGTCCTCGGCCGTCGGCCTCCGCTTCTCCTCCACGAAGATCTGCTTGAGGAAGTTGCGGCAGGAGCTGGAGACGCTGTCGGGGAGCTGGGGGTTGGTGGGCTGCGTGGCGATTTTAAAAATTGCCGCCATGGCCTCGAACTCTGCCCAGGGCGGCTTCTCCGTTAACATCTCCACCACGGTGCAGGCCACGCTCCTGCAACAAGGCCGAGCACAGCGTGAGGGACTGGGGAGGCGGCACTGCAGTGTCACAGACATATTTTCTGAAAAATACCTTTGCTAGGGTTTTTCTCCTGAGAAACTAAGGCCTCAGAAACGAAATGCAAACAATAATTATCTGCTGCTGCTGTGGAATGTGGCAGGTGCATCTTTGATTGTTCTCATGTGGTTGTTTTTACTTGATGACCAGTCACAGGTCCAGCTGTGTTGGACTCTCTGGTCAGTCACAAGATTTTATTATTCATTCTTTGCTAGCCTTCTGATGAAATCCTTTCTTCTATTCTTTTAGTATATCATTTTCTTTTAATATAATATATATCATAAAATAATAAATCAGCCTTCTGAAACATGGAGTCAAGATTCTCATCTCTTCCTTTGTCCTGGGGACCCATAAACTCCATCACGCTGCAGCTCAAGTCTAACCAGCTCTAGGATTGCACCTGCCTAAAGGGAGCAAACCTGTGGGAGATGGGCACATAGCCCTGGAATGTCTGGTCCCCTGAAGCTCCCTGGTCACACAGGTCCTTGGCACTCAACTCTTGAGTGGATGCATAAGCCTTGCCCTTAAAGCTGCTGGCTTTTCTGCCCACTTTACAGATCAGAGAATCACAGAATAATGAGGTTGGAAGAGACCTCCAAGATCACTGAGTCCAACCTATGCCCTAACACCCCAACCAGACTATAGCACCAAGGGCCATGTCCAGTCTTTTTTTAAACACACCCATGGATGGTGATTCTACCACCTCCCTGGGAAGAACACTCCAGTACTTTATTATTCTTTTGGTGAAAATTTTCTTCCTAATATCCAACCAATACCTTCCCTGACATAGCTGGAGACTGTGTCCTCTGGTTCTGTCAGTGCTGCTGGTGGAAGAGACCAACCCCACCTGTCTGCAACCTCCCTTCAGGAAGGTGTAGAGAGCAATAAGGTCACCTCTAAGCCTCCTCTTCTCAGGCTACTAAGTTTCATAAAAGCTCAGGGAGATACTAAGTTAACTGGAAGCTCACTGGAGCATCCCCTGAAGGGAAATCCATGAACAGCTTCAGACAGCACAATTTCAACAATAACATGTAGTTCCCAGGGAAGCTGAGCCAGAATGAAATGTTTGCCTACATCCAACTTCATCTCTGAGATGTGCCTGAGAGGAGCAGGTGGGATGAGCAGCAAAGAGCCTGAGAGGTTTCCCTCAGTTTGCTCAAGAATCCTGGTCTCAGCAGAGATACTCTGCCACCTCTATTCATGAATGTTCCTAAAAAAATTAAATCTATCCTATTGATCCTAAAAAATTTAAAAATAATCATTTGCCTCCCATCAGCCAGTGCAGATGGTGCAGGGCACATGGACACCTGCTAAGGACTTTCTAGGTTTTCCCACCCAATTAGGGTCCTCTTGGAAGGATTATTTTTTGTTGACCCTCTTTGCATGGGCACCCAACAGAAAGCACACTGGGAAGACATTGCTTCTTCCTCATACTGGGAAGATTAGTAGTGTCATCCCAATTCCTCCAGGTTCCATCTGTCATCCTCCACAGATCAAAACATTCACAAGAAGACAATGATTTCAGTTGTGTTTGTGCCTGAGCCACATGCAAACATCCAGCAGCACATTTGGGAAGACCATGAAGATCCCCTGAGCCTCTGAGCTTAGTGAACCCAAAATCAGGGCCAACAAAACTCAACAGTCTTTCAGTGAGCTTTGTTATCAACCTGCTTTCCAGAATCAAAAAGCAGTTATGGGGATGAGCTGGAGTGAGACTCACACAAGACAAGAGTTACCAAAAGCAACTTGTGATTCTGAGTGCTCCTGTTTTGGGAACTTAGCTACAATAGTTTTACACTGGATATCTGCACAGTTGATCCTAACATGTATCTCCTATTTTCCATCCTTTGCACTGCTTCCAGCAACTAGCTATACCTATTGTTCTTATTACAGCTTCCCAAAAGGATTGTTGGATTTAAGTAGCAGTGGTGGGGTTTTTACTGTGTTCCTTACCACACATCAGCTTTCCTTCCATAGCCCTCTCCACTGATAACCTCTGGGCTCATCCAGTATGGTGTTCCTGTGACAGATTTAATCCCAGTCCCAGACATGCAGATGGTCTGGATGCGTTTGCTGGCCCCAAAATCTCCAAGTTTCACATTTCCAGCAGAATCTCTCAGAATATTGGCACCTGGGATGAGAAGCAAAGACAAGACCCCCAAGAAATGAAACAGGAACCTGAAGTGGCTACAGTGAGGAGAGCAGGAAGGGCACAGGCAAAGAGCCAGGCAGGGGGGAGCCCAAAGGGCTGTGGTGGGGCTGGACTCAGCATCATTTCAAATCCTTCTCTCCTAAGGCAGCTGCTCTCCAAGAGGTTTGACTCCCACCAGCATCCCCTCATTCAGCAGGTTTCCCAAAAGTGAGCAGTGCATGGGGGCCAACAGATTCTCCTGCCCACCCACAGACAGCAGAAAGCAGCTTCAGACCTCTCCAAATGGCAGAGCCTCTCAGTTATTGGCTATGTTACACCAGATTTTCAGACATGTAAGGGCAGTTAACAGCAATCCCTTGAGAGAGAAAACAGCCCAAGATTTTGGTTTCAGCTGCCTGCTCAAGATTTTCATGGCTCAATCTGGTGAAAGGCAGGGGCAAAAATACTTCAAATAGCAGATCCCAGCACTATGCTGGATTTGCACTGGGGCAGGGGAGGCTGGGCTGAACAAAGCCAAGCAAGCAAGAAGCCTCTGTATTATGCCCTCACCTTTAATATCCCTGTGGACAATCATATTGCTGTGTAGGTAGAAGACTCCTTGCAGGATCTGCCTGGTGTATTTCCGTGTGACATTCTCAGTCAGAGCACCGTAAGCTTTCAGCTGGTCCTTTATTGAGCCCTGTTGCAAAGAAACAACACACACCACCTGTAAGGACCAGAGAAACCATCACATCACAGCAACTTCTTCAACCTTCCTGACCGCTCTATCTTCCAGCTCAAAAAAGCCCCCAAACCTTATTTGTAGAAACAGCAGAAATCCACTAAGTGGTGAACGGAGCAAAGACTTGTGCCCGTGTCCCAGATCCCTGGGGAGATGAAGGTGACACAAGCTGGTGCCTGGCACAGCTTCCTCCTGCCAACAGCACAGACCTTTTTCCCCCTCTAGTGGCTGCAGGGGGGTCACTGACAGCTCACTGAGAAAGACCGAACTGATGAGGAATTACAACTCAAATGAGAAGATCAACTCGATTAATTAGATTCATAGACTCTTTAAGGCTGGAAAAAAGCCTCTGAGACCATCCATTCCAATCATTAACCCAGCACTGCAAGGTCCATCACTAAACCATGTGGGTTTTTGATCATTTCCAATGAGGGTGATTCCACTACTTCCCTGGGCAGCCTGTTCTGATGCTTGACAACCCTTTCAGTGAAGAAATTGTTCCTAGTACCCAATAAAAATCTCTGCTGGTGCAACTTGAGGCCATGTCCTCTTTTCCTATCACTTGTTACCTGAGAGAAAAGACCAACTCCTACCTGTCTACAATCTCCTTGCAGGGAGTTGCAGAGAGCCAGTTCTTTAGGGTCAAGATAATGAGTCAGTCTTTGAAAGCCTCCTCCCAAAACTCTACACAGGAAGGAACACCCACAGCCATGAGGGACAACCAGCCCCAAAAGGGACTGCACCAAGACCACCCAGAGTAGATAATTTACAAGTCCTTGAATTTCTGACCCAGGCATGCAGGCTCAAACTGGTGTGATGGTATTGATCAAAGAGGAAAGGGAGCAGGGGTGCAGACATTTATCATCTGCAGCAGGTTGATCCCCTTGGTTATAGCTGTATTTTTGGGCCACTTGGAAATGGATGTGTCTCACTGTGCCAGAGCTGGGTTTTGGCAGGGATGAACCAGAGGCAGATTTGGGGTTCACACTCAGCTCTGCCTCCAGTATTCAGGTTAGCTGGGAAGTGGGAGGGGAAACCCATCCTGTTTCTGTCTGTCCTGCAGCTCTGGGGTTGATCCAAGATTGCCAGTCCTGTTCTGGGAACAGTGGCTGCTCTGCTCCAAGCCAGCCCATCCAACTGTATCAGCTTTTCCACATCCACCCATCTCTGCTGTTGCTCTGCCCAGCTACTGTTTTGGCATCTTTTGAGGCTGGTGGTGATCCTGTGGATGGGCCTCTCCTTTTCCTTTCTCAGCACTGCTGAGGCAACCTGAGATGCTCTAAATGACCCCTCAATATAACCTGTATGCAGGGTACATTCCCTCACCACAACCAAAACAGATTTCTTATCCTGCCCTCCCTCACCCTGATGAGGGGATATCACACAAGAAGGGGAAACTGGTTCTTTGAGGCCTGTGGTCAAATGGACCATTCTGTTTTCCAAGCATAATTTAAAAAACAGTTTATGGGCAGGACAGCAACTAGAGTCAGCTATTAACTGAGGCCAGCAAAAGAATGGCAGCATCAGGGTGCATCCAAACTTGGCCCTCTGAACATTTTGCCAAGCTGACTGTCTCAAACTGGAAGCTTGGCCAGACCCAGCTTTGCAGAGCTGCTGTCCTGCAAGCTTTGGGAACTCCCTCACTTCCACTGGCCTTGGAAACCAGAGCCCCAAGCTGCTTTTGTCAAATGAGCTGTTGTTGCAGCAGCAAAGTCAATCTGTATTTGGTCAGAGCTCAGCTTTATCATTTAAAAAAACAAACATTGAATTTCCAGCCCTGCTGGACACTGCCCCAGCATCGAATGCTGGTTTCCTGACTGCTAACAAACATCAGCAAGGGGACTGCTGGAATTCCTGGGATTTACTCCTCTGGGTCCATGCCTTGTGGCAGGGCCTGAAGGCAACATGCCCACAGGGATAGAGGGAGGGCAGGGTATGGAAGGGACTCAGAGGCATGGAAGTCCACCTGATCACTCACATGCAAGATGCATTCAGAGAGCCTCTAGCACATTTACTTAACTACTAAAATTATTTGCAACCAAATGACTTAATTGTCCCTTCTGACCTTACAAATCTCTGTATAAACAAGGGTTTATTCTCCCACACTCTGGGGAACAAATCCAGCTGGACAGAAGAGACTTGGGAGAACACATCCTCCAGCAATGTAAATAGCATTATGCTGTTTTACACCATCAGTCTAATGGCTGATGTAATTCACAAGCTCCCAAACACAAAGAGATGCTCAACTCACCCATGCACATTCTCAAGCTGCTGCTTAAATTCCCTCAAAGCATTCTGATCTTTTTTCCCCATGACTATTTCATCCTATATCAGCAAAGCCACAAATGAAGCCACTCCTACACAAGAGGATAATGCTGCCCACAAAAAGCTCTGTCCTCAACAGAAGACTCTAATGAATACCACTGTTTTAATGCACACGTGCTGAAAGCCACAAATAATTGGTGACAGCTGTGGGTGGACAGTTGTACTATTAGCTTGTCCTGCAGGGAGTTGCAGTAAATACTCAAGGATGGGCTCAGGCCACAGTGTTTGGAGCAGGATCTGGATCATGTCCCACATTCACCAAGCTCAGATTCCAGACTGTGCACACACCCTGCTTCAGGATTCAAACCTAAAACCTGCCTGCAAAGCTTTTCTTTTCACCCAGTGCTTGTCGAGGGGCTTCACCATGACCTCTGACTCACACCCTAAGCTCTCCCAAGCCTTAGGGATGCATCCACTGGTTTGGTTTGGTTCGGTTCATCAGCCATAAAACAGCTCAGCTGGACAGATACAAATTTCACCAAAATCCAGGAAACTCTAAATCTGTTTTCTGCCACTCAGGACAATGATTAGCAGGAAGCACACTTACCCCTGGCATGTATTCCACAAAGATGGACAGTTTCTTCTCCTCAGGATCCCGCAGGCACCCGTAGTACTGCACGATCCTGTCGTGACGAAGAGTCTTCAACAGCTGAATCTCACATTCTAAAGCATTCACCTCCTGTAACAAACCACACAGGCTTCCTGATAAAGGGGAATGGTGTCTTTGGGAACATGATATAAATACTGCTCCATGCTGAGCACAGTTTTTGTAGAAGCTGTGAAGCTGTCCACAAAGCCACTGGCTACATGAGGCTCAGAAATAAGGAGCACTGCCCTAAGGGAAAGGCAAAGAAAAAGACAGGGCTTGGCTTTTGGACAGGTTTATTATTATTATTATTATTATTATTATTATTATTAGTGTTTAAGGAGTTTTTCTGGAAAGATTTCAGATTCTGAAATCTGTTTGATTTCAACAAAGTCACTGAGCAGAATGGGGAGAAGGTGAAGGGAGCAAGGAAGGTGAAGGGAGCAACAAAACTAAGGAAGATCAGACAGACCTGCAAGAGGTGATACCTGACACAGAGCAGGCCAATGTAACCAAGGAACTGGGAGGCACAGAAGTCACCAGAGCACCAGAGCCATTCAGGACTACTCCAGAGAGGGGAAACAACACCCTGCCTGCACACACAGCCTCCCAGGGACATGGACACCTGTACCCTCAGCCCACAGCTCCCCAGGGTGCTGCAGAACAGCCCTGCCCCTGTACTCACTTTACTTGTCTCCTGGCTGTCAGGGTCGAAAGGCACCTGCTTCACTGACAGCTCCCTCCCAGTGTCAGCATCATAGCAGAGATAAACTTCCCCAAAAGCTCCTCTTCCCAGCAGCTTCCCCAGCCTCCAGTTCACAGGTGCCTGCAGGGCTACAGGAGAGAGGAGAGGGTTGAGAGAAGAGCACAGGAGGGAGACTTCAGCATCAGGGTCCACCTGACCCTACAGGGCAGTCAGTGAGTCTCTATCTCTCCCAGGGGCACCAGGACAAACCAGTTTTAACTATACTGGTGCCATTGGTGTGGGGGGAATGTCTCCCAGTCTGCATTAGCATAAAGCAGAAACAAATCCCAGGAAATTCCAATTTCATTAAGAGTCTTTCCTCTAAAAACTGTTTCCTTAGCCAACACTGGAATTTCCCTTCTGCTGTGGGAGTGTTTAGCAGATTACAGGATGGCTGAGCAGCAACCAAGGCAGGGACCAGTGAGGAGTTTTATCTCACTGGTCATGACTTGGATGTTATCCATCACTAAACAGCCCCAAAATGCACCAGCTTCTATACCATGGGCAGTCTTGCAATAGCAGAGGAGCATCTTTGAGTGCTGGGGTGACAGCAATGCAAGCCAAGGAACAGAAACTCTGGATGCATTTGCTCCCACATCCCAAGTCTTCTGGGAAGCTGACAGTCCAACACACAAGCAATCACCTGTAACCTGGCAAGATGAACACCAGCTGACCCCACACAGCTCTCAGCCAAAGGCTGAGTAAGACACAGGGTGTTGTACTAAACCCTGCTCATGACACACAAGCTGGTGCAGTGTGCCTCATGGTGGGGGTGCAGTCAAAGTTTACCCATGGCTGCTTAGCTGATGTCCAGCAACATCAGGAATTAGTAAATCAGCAGGTCACAATAACTCAATTTTGTGCCAAATCCCAGCTCTCCTGAAGCCTCAGGCACTTGGGGCTTTGGTTCACTCACAGTTCCTGGCTTTTGTAGGGGAGGTGCTGAAGGCCTGCAGACCCTTTTCAAAATTGTTCCAACACTTGGGCCTGTATTCATCATACTGCAAGGTGCTGAGCTTGCTGTCCCCAGTAAAGCTCTTGGTTCTGCTGGAAGGGACAAGCTGAAACAGGTTCTCCTGTGGGAAGTAACTCCTGGGGAAAGTCCTCCGGCCTGCAGGGAAAAAGGGGTAAAATGACAGCCAGAACACACAGAGCAGATTGGATCCACCTGTCACCACCTTCTCACATCACTGCCCAGATCCTCACCTCCTCAAATTAAAGCAAAGCAAGTGTAATGAAACTGAAGCAAAGCCTTGAAGATTTTAAATTCAATTTAAGAGTTGATAACAGCAGGCATTACATCTAATGTAGATGTTTCCAGAGGGGTTTGCAACAGTTTAATTACATCAACGGGTGTGTTGGTTGTTAATCACAATTAAACACTGAACAGGCAGAGATTTACATTGAAAATTATCCCTGCCATCCCCTAAGTCCACATGCAAATGACCACACAGCAGGGCCAGACCTGCTTTCACAGGGGTGGCAGTGAGAGATGAAGCTCATTCTGGAAAGCTCAATATGCTCCCTGCATGTCCTCAGTACATTTTTCCCAAGGGAATTTTTGCCTCCCACTACTTGCAGTCTTACACAGTGAAAGAATGAGCAGGAAAAAGATGATGGAGTTGGCCCCAAAGCTCAGAGCTCACCAGCTTAGAACAGAGAAGCAAACAGATACTGCTACCCTGAAATTGCTTGGGGATTTCCTATGGCTCAGTGAGAAACCTGCTGTAAAGGTCACAAAAATCATCCTCAAAAGCAAGCAATCTAGGGGAGTAGGAAAGTTGATACTGCCAGGGATGAGAAATGCCAATCATCCCCATGGTGAAATTAAAGCAGGAGGTGTAAGCAGAGGACAGGCTCAGCACTTCCCAAGAGCAGAGCCACAAGGTCTCACAGAGAACAACCCTTCTGAACACACAAGTGAATCCCAAAGCACTTGGTGGCTCTCCCTTTATCAGAAACCTCCCCTTCCCAAGTGTTTCCAGTCCCAGGCACTGGCAGAAGCCATCAAGGACTGATCACCTCCCACCCTGAGCCCCCATCATGTCCTTACCATCGCTGTAGTCCTTGCGACTTTGGGAGAGATGGTACTGCCTTGGGAAGGTCCCACCTTTCCCAAACCTCTCACAGAATGGGATGTCAAAATCTGCCAGGAGGGAAGAAGACACAGATATTTCTGAGATCAGCTCAGTATCAAATGCTCAGAGTGTTTCTTATGGGAAACACTGAGACAAGAAGGAGGTGACAAGGTGTTCATTTACACAACCCTACACATCCAAAGGCTCCCTGTGAAATCTGCCTACACTCACAAACTCTTCAGTGGAAAATCAGGGTTAGACACACTGCCCTTAGTGCCCCTAAAGCAGAGGTTTAACTGCTGACTTTATGGACCCTGGCCCACATTCAAGCAGGGGATTAACACAGACCATGCTTGCTTTCCAAGGCAGAGCACTAAAACATCTTATTTGCACTTGGAAAATGCAAAAAATTGAAACAGAACTGCCAGGCAGGGTCAGGCCTAGACACATCCACTCCAAAACATTTGCTATGATATCAGCTATTTCCAGGAAAATGCAAAAAAATCCAGCACTTGACTAACACCAGATAATATCTCCCCTCTTTCTTCTCAGATGTAACTCCTCCCCTCTGAAAGCCAATTCAAACCTCCAGAGCTCCAAACTTTTATATTTATTTGATTAAATGCTAGAAAGATAGAATATACAGAAGGGATTAAAGACCATCAGAGTTTAGATGCTGGATGATGAGAGAGATGGATGGACATGCAAGATAAGGACATATTTTTTTTAATAAAAACGCCAGCACAGGAAGCCATTGCTGGTAGCACCAAATAACTTGAGATTAAAATATCTGTCATTCCACCCCCTTCTTTCACCTGCTGTTTTTCCTCCATCCAATTCTAATGACACAGCCCCTTCTGACTGTTTGTTTGTCTTAGCCTGGGGCCAGCAGCAGCTCCTCAGAGGCCATTCCTGGCCTCTGCTGTGCTTCGGTGTGATTGCCAAAAAGAGCACATAATGGCTGAAATATGGTCAGCAAGAGGAGCAACAAGGACAGGGCAAGAGGTTCTCGGTGAGCCACGTGTGAGCAACGGTGCCCAGAGGTGTCTCAAAGCAAAGTGCCATGGGGGAAGCATTAAAACTTCAGCAACAAGGGCTGACTGCAGCTTCATCTCTGCAGCTCAATCTAGAAATCCTGCCTCAGGCCAGCAATGAGTTATCCTGCCACAGGCTGGCTGCCATTTGCTCATTTTTATTAGTGCAAGTCATTACAATATTACAGAGTTTCCATTATTTAACCAGCTGGATGTTTATAAGTGATTAAGCAGTAACCTATGATCTGTGCAAGCACCAATACAGCTTCTCTCACAGCATTTGCACTATTGCAGATTATTATTCATGCAAGTGGAAGAGGTGTAACTCCCTAGAGAGCTGGGCTTTGCTGTGTAGGAAGTCGGGATCCTGAAGGGGCAACTCCCAGATGAGAAAAGAGAGACAAAAGCTGATCCTACAAGGCTGTTCCCAGAACCTTGCAGTTGTCTGCAAACACAAGAGCAACATCTTCCAACACAGATCTCTCTACAGCTTTGCTTGCTTGCCTCCATCCACCTCAGGGCCCCAGCTACCCAGTTTGGACTATTGTTGCTGTCAACTGATTCCCAAACCAGCCCCAAAGAATCTGCTGCAGAATCACAAAGGGTTAATGAAGACAAGAGCAGCCCTGCCTGTGTTTGCTGCTCTGGGCCTTTTGATTTTAGAGAATATTCATGTTTGATCATTACAGGGTCAGTTCTGAAGGGTTACCAAAGCCATGGAGCTGGTTTGCTTGATTGCTTTTAATTACTTTTCATGCCGTGCCATCTCTCTGATATTCTTCATCCAGCCTCTTCACTATGAGCTTTTTATACTTTTCAGCAAATATAAACCACCAAGAGTGCTTACCCATGCAATCAAGACCGTCTTTGGGATGGCTCTTCCTTCCAGGAACAGGGGTTTGGGGAAAGGGAGGGCTGCAAAGGGATGGGAAAAAAAAAAGATTTATTTATTGTATCAGAAAGGAAATTAATATGAAATTAATAAAAATAAAACTATGAAATTAATAAACTAGGGAAAGGACAGGATAAACCACAAGCTGCACTGACCACTGAGCTCCCATCCTCATCCTGCACAAGAATGAGGATTGGTTTTTTGGCTGGATCACAGCTTGTTCCTGTGGCAAACAAAAGGGATGCTGCAAAACCCACAGTCACCAGGCTGAAATGAAGCAGCCAAAGGTCTCACCCCTGTGCAGGAAGCAGCTCAGAAGAAGGGCCACAGGCTTCTGCTCCCTCACTGTCAAGTGTTCAACCACACACCTCTGCTTTCCATGGACACTGCTGAGCTGCTGCAGGTGCTCACACCAGAGTCCCTCAGCCATGCTCAGTTCATGCAGCTTTCCCTCCTGTCCAACATCACCTCCCACCTTCCTCACACAGACTCTGCCCCACCACTGGGAACACACAGCCTCCCATGGGACCAGGAGGGAGAGTGTGACATTGGTGCCTCAAGGCCTTTAAACTGCAGTGAGAGGATGGAAAAGCACTGCAAGGGGATTTCTGCAATCCCAATTTCACCTCAGGCTCTTAAAGAGTGATCTGGGCATGTGGGTTTTACACTTCTCTTTTAACAATACGGGCACAGAGTAGAAATCAGCTTTGTAAAGTGCTCTGAAACCTACTCATGTCAAAGCTGATCCCTGCTGTGGCAAAGAGGAGTTTGTGGTGCTGTTCCTAACCCTCAGCCTGGTCACTGAGCCTGGTGACTTACTCTGTCCTCTTGGGCTGATGCCATCCCAAACAACTGGCTGCAAGGCCCCCACCACCTCTTTGCAGGAAGAGTCCCACTAACTCCTCTTCCTTGGAGTAATACAGCCCCCCTTGTGCCTTTTCCAGCTCCTGGAACCATGACTGGACACATCTGCCTGCTTTGGACATGAAATCAGGCCATGCCACCCTCTCACAGACAGAACTAAAAGCCTAAAGCTCTCCTCTAAGTTCACAGCAGTGTTACAAACAGCCTGTGCTCCTTCTGCTGTTCTTCTTGGCAAAATCTCTGCAAAAGCAAAGCTGGGGCAGAGAGGTTGGGAACACAAGGAATCCAGCTTCAATACAGCCCTAACAATGAGCAAATACATCACAGGAAATTATTAAAAGCCACAAAAAGGAAATGGACCTTGATGCTGAGACAGGTCCAAAGCACACGGAGCTGCAAACCCAAAGCACACTACACAATCAACCCAAGGCAGGCCTGCTGGAACACAGCCTTGGGGCTGGATGGAACAGCAACAGCGGAAAAAAATAGACAACCTTTGATGCAGATGGAAAAAAAAATACACTGCTTCCCAAAAGGACACTGTGTCTTATCCACAGCTCACCCTGCACAGCAGCAAACACAGGGATTCTGTGCACGTGGGAGCTGGGATCCAGCTCAATGGCAGCAGGCACTGAATCGCAGCCTGGCTTAGTACAACGTGTCCCAGTTGCTTCCTGCTGAGCAGCTAAACTTAGTTACTGCTCATCTGGTGTCCCCAGCACCTTGAGTGACATGTCTGTGGCTGCTGGCACTGCACAGGGGCTGCTGAGTTTGCCAGTGGTCAGTGAAGAGCAGACAGCATGCCCAGGGAGGAGCAGGCACGGAGAGGCTGATGGAATATTGACCTGGTGACTGCAGAGAGCCAGAGGGGAAGGAGGTGCTGGGAGGGTGGTGAAGCACTGGAAAAGGCTGCCCAGAGAAATTGTGGATGCCCATCCCTGGAAGAGTTCAAGGCTAGGCTAAATGGAGCACTGAGTAACCTGGTCTAGTGGAAGCTGTCCCTTCCCATGGCTGGTGACTGGAAGTGGATGATTTTTAAGGTCCCTTCCAACCCAAAACCATTGTGTGATTCTGTGAGAATTTTCATCTCGAAAGGCAAAAAAGAAAACCTGGTCACACAAAGCTAGGCTGTCTTTGTCCAGCTCAGATTACTGCAATTCAAATCATACCATTGCACAGATATCTGTGCTAGGATCTGGTTTTCAGCAATAAAGATAAATTTGTTTTACTCAGGAGCATCCTATCCCAACAGAAACCTCAGGGGTTGCCACTGATCCTGTTGCTCTCCTGCTGTGGAGCAGTTCAGCTTGTGAACATGGTGACACACACAACTCACCTGTCCACAGACCTGTCCAGTGACTGGCAGCTCCCAGACAGAGAATCATCAGGGCTGATGAAAGCTTCAAGCATCTGACAGAGAAAGAAAAGGGAAACAATAAAACCATGCACTATAATTCTCCAAACTCCAGAAGGAGCAGACCTCTGCAGGGTCACCCATTTATGATGCCTTCTCTGCATTATTGTTCTTTCCAGCTGCTATTTGCTGGTAGGAAAACTGAAGCAAAGATCATCAGCACCCTGATGTTCAAAGTGTGCGGAGGAGTCAATGAGATTTCAAAGCATTTGTGAGAAATAATAATATTTACTACTTTTTCCTTACTACTAAAGGAAAATATGTATCAGGACACAAATGATGTGCCCAAGGCCAAGTGGATATTGTGTACCAGAGGCAGGACTGCAGCCCTGGGCTCCTGACTTCCCGAGCTGCCCTGGCACACGAGCCCAGCCTTCCTCTCTGCTGATAAGAGCAGCATCATCAGGGCTTTGGCTGGAAGAACCGGCTTGGCACTCACCAGCTCAGTGAAGTCAAAAGCTGCATTTGTGTTGCTTCCTGGATGAGACATTGTACTGGCCAGGGTTATTTATAGCTGGTTATTAACAATAGAGAGTTTGTAAGGAGTGGTAAACCCTGGAGCTGTGTGCAGTTCCACATGGAGCAGAGCCTGCTCTGGGCCACACTGTGCTGAGGACATTCACTAACCCCTGCTCCACAGCTCATTCCTGGGAAAGCTGAGCAACAAGGGTTAAACACCATGTGGAGGCACACTTTGCTGCTTCCCACATTGCTCCTCCTTCCCCAACAGCCTCCCTTTCCCCAGGCTGTTCCCATCAGCCCTCCTCAGCCAGCTGTCAGAACAACTCGTGCTGTTTTGGCCAGGCAGTTCCAACTGCAAAGTGCAATTCTTCTCTGCTTCCTAGTTTTTACCCTAAAACCTCCTTCAAAATGCACTAGGCCAAAGAGGAGCAAGCAGAAGCCACTCCCCACCTCTGCCAGCCATGCCAGGTCTCTTCTGGCAGTTAAAGCTGAAACAGACTCATTTCTCAAAAGCATAAAATTGGGAATTGGAGCATGCTCCATACTCAGCCTCTGTTCATCTGCCAGGCTGGTCCCAAGACCACTGCTACATCACAGGCTTGCACAGGGGCATTCCCCAAAAGGCAGCAAGCTCCAGCTTCTGAGTGGTTTTCCATAAGGCACATATGGAAGCAGCAGTACAAGAACATTCTGGAGGCAAAGCCCACATAGGGAAAAGCAGAACTGCTCAGTGAGGAAAGACAATAAACCCCAAACCATTCCCCAAACCCCTTTTCCCTGCTTTTAATTCACTAACAAAGGGCTGTGGGCCACCCACAGAGTGATGCTGGGGAAAAGCAAGGAGAGCATCTGGGAACCTTCATCCAGAGCAGGCTCAGGGCTCTGAATTAATGGAGCTCCACAAACAGCCAGTGGAGCTGGGCTGATTTACACCCAAGGGGGTCAGGGGACCCTCCCCCTGCACACACACACACACTTTGTCTTAATCCTTCCCAACATGTTTTGGAGGCATGTGAAAACAATGGGGAGCCAACTTTTGGCTGCAAGGAGCACACGATACATCTGCACTCTGACGCTGCCAAGACTCACCCGGAGTGACTTCTTATTTTATTAATGGCTGTATAATAAACTGTTGAAAACACAACTTTGCCATGGAAACACTGGCACAGACTGCATGCAAATGTGGAGCTAGTGGGTGCTTTTGAGTGTAGGAAATACACATCTCCCCAGGAACACCCTTGGGGGCCAGCATAGCAGCCTGATGGATTTAGTTTAGTACCTTCCAGATGTCCCTCCTGCAAACTAGGGATTCTTGCTCTTGTGTTTCCAAGAGCTTTGTAAGAATGACATGTGCTCAGACAGCCCAGCTGACTTCACAGGATCTATACTAAGCTCTTTAGAGCTACAGATTGAGCAGAAATGCAAATTGAGAGGGAGGTGTAAGGTGCTCCCACTGTGGTCCCTTGACACTGTAGAGTTTCCCTCACCGTGGGTACCAAATTGACTGGAGGATGAAGTACTGCTCAGCACTGAGGAACTTGCTGCTCTCTTATTGCTGAGGGGCTGGAATATACAATTTCCTTATTAAGAGAGTTTAAAAAAATATAAATGGGGGAGGGACAGAGACACAAAACCACAAAGGCTGTGGGCAGAGCCAAGAACTGTAACTGGAGCTCGTGCAGAAACACCACATGGGAAGCAGCCAGAGCTGCTGATATCCCCAGGCTGTTGCAATCACAGGCAATCGGTTGCTTGGCACATTCCCTCATGGTCCTGGGATCTGGGAATGCTGTGGCCATGAGGGCCTGGCAGCTGGTACAAACATGTGCCCCAGATCTTAGCTGCTCCAGAGCTACCTGAGATACCTGGGCACATTTGCCATCCCCACTGGCTCTCAGGGTTCCTGGAAATCAGACATTCCCATGGGCATTTCAAGCCCAGGGGCACCCATTCCTGAAAAAAGCTGGCCTGAGCCCCAAGCACAGGCACTGCCAGAATGTAGAGGTGGGAGCAGCTCTCCCAGCACAGCCAGTGTCGGAATTCAGGACATCCCTCTGGCTGTCCTGGACTGCCAGGACCCCTGCCAGGGGGCTCAGAGACCTGGCACAGAGCCCAAGGTGCCTGTGGTTTTGATTATGACCCATGGAGCAAATTAGTAACCTTGGGTGAAGATCTGCAAGCCACAAAAGTAGAATGACAGTGAATTTATCACAGGGTGAAAAATAGATTTTTGGGGTTTTTAGAATGGGGGTTCAGGAGGCAAGATGGAGGAATCTGAGCATGTCCAGCCTTTCTCCTTCTTCTTCTTGACCTCCATCTTCTGCTGTGGTGTTGACACTTTTGGATTGGTTTAGAGTAGAAGCTCACTGTCTAACATAGGTGATAGGTATTGGGAAGTGATTGTAAACATTGTTCATGTAGTTTTTAGTATAAAAAGATAACACAACCCCGGGGGCAGGCAGAGTGCCTCTGTCTGTCTTGCTGAGTGGACCTCGGCTAGACAGGTGAAAAAATTTTATAGATAAGAAACAATAAACAACCTTGAGACCGAGAACTGAAGAGCTCTGACTCCTTCAACCACCAGGCTGGGAAAAGAGACTTTCCAACACATCTCAGGGTCCCTCTGAGCAGTCAGAGATGCTGAGAAGCCAGCAGAGCTGTCCCACTGCAGCCACACCCCAGCCCCACTCACGTTCTGGTCCATGGTCTCAGGGATGAACTCTCCCTCGCTGTTGATGCTGGTGTAGGAGCCCTGGCGGGCGATCTGCTGCTGCTCCTCGGGAACGCTGCCCGGCGGCGGGGAGCTGCGCCCGGTGTGCAGGGAGCCTGGGCAGGGACACACACGGTCAAGGAGGGCACCCACCAAGCCAAACCCTTCCAGAAACGCTGTCCCAGTGAGCACACAGCTCCTGGGTGCCAGCACAGGAGTCCAGGGCGGTGTAATAAGTGTCACAGACTCTCGAGGCATTCACAGAAGGCTAATTCACTTTATTAACAAACCTATTGCTTTTTATACCCTAGTATAAAATCCCTATCCCTAAAATTGGTCTTTTAATTAAAACACCTGACAGTGTTTTAATTAAAGGACCAATCAAGTCCATCCCTACAGGTGGACTTGATTGGTCCTTTAATTAAAACACCATCACCACTGGCTAATTAAGAAACCACCCTTTGGTAAACATTCTCCACAACACATCTCTACAACACATTCCACACGTTCACAACACCAGGTGCAGCAAGTGAAGGTAAGTATTGTTTGTAATTCTTCTCTCTGAGCTTCTCAGAGCCTCTCACAGAATGATGCCTGGGAAAGTTGTCTGTTGCTCTCTGTGACCAGAGAGCTGCTGCCACAGCTGGGTTTGAACTCATGAGGATGGGAATGGAGCTAGAGGTGTGATGCTGTTTATGGGCATCCGCCAAAGCTTTAGCAACAGGGAGGGTTTGTTACTGTGGGACCACACAATGTGTACCAGACTTGACCTTCAACACACCCTGGATCCTAAGAGCTGTCACTGTATCCAGGTGTGATGCTAGAAAGGAAAGCAGACTCTGGGAGTTCTGCTGTGATACAATCAGTCAGCCTCAAAGCAAACCACAAACCACAAACCTACCTCCCCTTTGACCTCTGGGCATTCCCTCCCTGGAGCAGGTCACTGCCTTACCCAGGCATGCAGGAAAGAGCCTGGCTGTGCTCAGTACATCACTGAAACACTTGTTATATGGAAAACAATTTGCACTCAAATACCTTCTTCTCCCCCCTTTCCCTACACAAAAGTAAAGACAAAGGAAAACCAGCCCTCAAACCCAAAAACCCCAGGGCAGGAGTGATCTATGGGATTGGTTTGTCCCATTTTTGGCCAAGGGAATTGTCTCCCCTCTCTGTAACCCCAGAGCCTATGCACAGACAGCAAAGCTTCCACTGGCTCCCTCACAGGGCTCTTAGCAGAAGGTGATTTCCATTTTGCACCTGGGAGAGAACCCCACAGCTTCTTTATGAAGATGTTCCATTCCTCCTGTTTATTCCCCCAAATCCACTCTATCCTTGTGCCTTTTCCAGCTTTAGGGATTACTGCCCTTGCTTGGCCCTGCTGCAGAGTCTTGGCTGTGCACTCCCTCCCCTCCATCCCTGTGCTGTCATCACTCCAAGGCAGGGAATTGCTGATGGAGATCCATGTGGGTCCATGCTGGAGCTTCAGCTGGCATTGTGCAACATGAGCTTTCACACAACACAACAACCTGTTTTCATGCAGGCTTCTGAAAAGCACACATCCTTGAGGAGATGGAAAGCACATGGAGATGTGTTTCCTCACGTTTTGTATCCATTTTGTGGCACTCCTGCCAGGTCTTGGGTTCATTACCACCATTTGCTAACAACATGCCCAGGGTTGAGCACAAGAGAAAGGTACTGGGAAGAGACCTACCCCATCATGGAGAGTCAACACTGATCTATCAAACAACACTTCTGCCTCTTCTGCATCACAGTTACTGTGCCACATGGATCTCTGGAATAAATCCATATGCGTGATCAACATGACCTACCCAAGTTCCCACCTTTCACTTAAGCAGATACACATCAGGAGCTGTGAATGTTAACAGTGTCACAGCAGCATTAAAGATCATTAAATCAGGCCTTTTTGCTGGATTTACAGCAAACACACAGATTTGTCTGTCCATGCTACATCTTCCTTCAGACTCCTTGCTTAGATTGTAAAAATAAAAGTCATATGGCTTTGAGTTACTTTTTTTTTTCTTCTTCCTATTTTCTCCTTCACAGATTTCCTGCAGGATAAGAACACAGTGAAAAAACTCCAACTGAAGTAATGCCAAGATCAAGAGAAGAGAAACTCTCGAGTGCTGCAGCACTCATAACGAACTGGCTTTCCACCAGCCCTAAAACAAAACCAGTTGGGAAGTACAGCATCCTCTCTTTGAAGATAAATAAATAAACTTTTAACTGTTGAGCAGTTCAGGCACCCTGAATAAATCACTGCATCAGCAGCCCCTTGTTTGCTTAGCAGATGCCAATCTGGAATGCAGCACAAGGGCATCTGGGTGGCTCTTGCCCCAGAAAGCTGCTGAGGATTTAGTGAGGTGTAACTGCTGTATCTTAGCCCTGCTGAGCATTTCTGTTACTGCTGCAATGAGCTGTGGATTTGCTCATGCACTATTGGGATTTTTTGCTCCAAGGACCCAGTTGTTATCCAGAAACCCTTTGATTATGATTTTACAAAGATCTGTACATGCCCTGTTTGACTTTGAACACAGGAGTTAAACCAGACTTATCACAAGCACAAAGACTTCCCATGATCTCCCATTAAGCCTTTGCCTGTAACAACTACTCCCAGCCATAGATCAGCTGTGTTTGACCTTCCAGAGTCACATTTCCTGCCAAAAACTTTAAAAAGGAATAAGACACCAGCTATTTCCCAGCAGGTAAGGAAATTAAACAAAGTGCTTATTAGGCTTTTGCCTGCTTGGAAACTGCTGGAGTGAAGCAGATCCCTTTTCAGCCAGGCTGTTTAGGTAGAAGTGCTGCCCAAAGTCATTTTTGCAGCTTCACACCTCCAGGAGCATTGGTTGCTGCTCCTTTGCATCCATGCATGTTCTTCCACCTGGGAGAAACATGGAGAGGTGCTGGGAGCAGAGCTCTGGAGCTCAGGGTTGATTCCCCACTCCAGCCCTATCCTGCTCTGGTAACAAAACCTCAGGCAGTCCCTGTGCTGCTGGAGGAGGGCAGGGATGGAAAACAGGAGTCAGAGCAACAGTGGTACTTCATGGCAGGCTTAATTCATAGTGGGGAAAACACACTGGATATATTGGATAATGCTGATTAATCCACCCTGAGCAGAGGAAGAAACAGACAGAGAAGTCCAGATGTGCCTGTTTGACACATCACAGATGCTCTTCACACTTGACCTAATACTCAAGAAACAGCAGCAGCACCAGGCAGGGAGAGGAGGCCCCCAAGGGACTGTCCTGGGGTCTATGGGACATCAAGTCACCTCCAGTGGGGATGTGTGGCATCCACATTCTCTGAAAAAATCCCTTCACCCAGGATTTTTCTCCTGGGAAGCTGAGAAGCCTCAGAGAAAAGGAAAACAATTCTTATCTCATTTGCTTCTCCTGTGTTGTGCTCACATGTGGAATGTGTTTGGAGATTGTTCACCCACAGGTGATTGTTTCATTGGATTCTGCTGGGAGTTGTTTTCACTCTTTGGCCAATCAGGGCTAAGCTGTGTTGAGACTCTGGAAAGAGTCACAAGTTTTCATTATTATCTTTTTAGCATTCAGTAAGTATCCTTTCTGTATTCTTTAGTATAGTTTAGTATAGTATTCTTTAATATAATATAGTATTATAAAGTAATAAAGTAGCATTCTGAGAACATGGAGTCAGAGTCATCATTCCTCCTTCATCTGGAGGGAACACAAATACAATAGGGATGGGGCAGGCTGTGAGGCACTTCTATACAGGCAGAGTGGTGGTCAGATCTCAGCAGCTCTGTTTGGGATTCCTGAACTCAGAGTTGGCCCTGGTTGAGCATCTGACCTCAGATACTCTCAGCAGCAAGGTGCTCTGGGGAGGGATTCCTGCTCCACTTACACACACGAATGTAAAGCCACAGATTTGAGAGCACAGAGTGTCCTGAGGACACAGAACCAGGACAGCACGGAGACTCACAGTCACTGCTGGCACCCACTGGGGCCTTTCATGTTCCCTTCTGCTATTTTCCTTTCAGAAGTGCCTTTCCTGCAGTCTGTGCAGAGCTCGTGGTGCTGCACGTACAGCCAGCTCCCCAGTGCCAGGCTTGGCTTCCCTCCGCCCCCGCATTCCCTGGCTTCATCTTCCCCTGCTCTTCCCAAAACTTCACCCACTGCTGACCAGCATCAAGCAGGGAAGAGAAGCCCTTGAAGAGGCAGAGCTGGGGAGGGTTTGCTGGCAGCTGCCACCACTCACAGCTGCAGCCACAGGGAGCCCAGCCCTGGGATGATGTTCCCAAACAAGGGACACCACGTCAGGATGTGCTGCTCCTCTAAGCCCTGGCAGAAACACCAGGCTCAGGACAGGGCTGCACAGGAGAAAGAGAGAAACCTGCTGGAAATTTTTCTCTTTGGTCCTGTCAAGAGGAGCTGTGAGCAGATCAAATCTGGATCAAATCTTGCTTAACTTCTTCTTTTCCAGTGGGCTCCCTGCAAGCCTCCCTCCTCTCCTTGCTGATCCTTCTGAGCATGGATTACTACATTTGATTTGAGGCAAATTTAGGGTACTTTTTAACTAATAAGCAAGACAGAAGCTATTTTCTAGTTCTAAAGCAGCTGGCATGATGCACGTAGATAAATTTTCTTCCTCTTCCCAAAACAGAGCAGGTTTCATCCATCCTAACTCCTGCAATACTCCTGGTCTGGAGAGAGCTGGCAGGCACATGAAACCATGGCTCAGCAGCCTGAAAAAACCCAGTAAAATGAAGCTTCTAGTAAATGTTTCTATTGAAAAGGTGATGCTGGAATGGGGCTGTTAAATAATTTTTGGATAATGCTCTGAAACATGTATTTCTTCAAAGTAAATAAAAACAATCCTCAGTTATCTGAAAATCCAGAACCCCAAAAGTTTTCTTTTTTCAGTCCAAGTTCCCTTGGGCTTTTGCTGGCCACCAAAAAACTGGAAGGGGATTTCCACTGAAAAAGTTTATGGGGAAAAAAAAAAAGAAAGAAAAAGAAAATATTGACTTTGCATAAGGTTTTTCAGGGACATGGCATGAAGATATTTTCTGCCCAGCAGAAGCAAAAATAGCTAAATCTTCCCGAGAACATTTACCTCCCTTCCAATGTGCTTGTGCCAATTACATACAGTTTTATTATTTTCCACTGCTGTTTACATGGCAGAGTCAGCAGAAAAACATGAGACATCTCAGAAACACAGAGAACATGACCCTGAACTACCTTTTAGTATAAAGACACTTTAAATCTCCTTTTAAATGTGGTTTCAAGAGAAAAGCTGAACTGAATTAAGATCCTCTTTTGATAGCAACCACTTTGATGACAGCAGGAGGAAAACACTGTGAAATGGCTTGTGACTGCAAGGGAAGAAGAGTTTCTCCTGCAGCCTCTTAAGATGCCTTTTGACTGTGCACCAAGTTCAGTGAAATCCCCACTGCAGGAAAACAAAACACAGCATCATGTCTGTCTGTCTGTCTGTTCCCTGATGCTGGGTTTTATGCTCCATTTGAGATGCTGCTCTCCCTTTCAGCTTGCTGGAGTTTCTGCCCAGCTGCTGGATCGTCCAGTTCTGACTCAGGAGGTCAAAAATGCATCTGCTGGACTGTGAGCACCCTCTAAGCAGAGCTGCAGCAGCTTCCTACAGACCCCAGATAACCCAAAGAGAGGAGTTAGAGAGATAAAGAGAGACAACAACCTTCTGTTGTCATGCTGAGGGCTGGCTGAAACCTCCTGGCAAGACTGATGGCTTACATGGAAAAAGAAACAGGAATGACTGATGCTTGGGCTGGTTACTTTTGCCACCTGTAAAAGTGCCAAGGACTCAGAGTTTGGCACATCAGCTCCTGAAAATCCCAACATTAGCACACTCTGCATGCCACAGCTGGTGCTGCCCAGTGCTCCTCCTCTGCTACCTTGACCAAAGCAACACATTGTGTCCATCCCTCCACTCTGCTCTTCAAGCATTCCCTCAAAATCCATTTGTACCTCAGGCTCTCACCCTTGCAGGGCTGATATCTCACCCTTTGTCTGCCTTGCCTTGGCTCAGGGCATTCTTGAGGCAGTGACACCTCACAGTCAGTGATGCAGAGCTGGTCAGGAACCAGCAGCTCCAAAACAGGAAGGACAGGCCAAAGCATGGCAAAAAAAGCTGGTAGGAAAGGCTTAACTTTGCAAGAATCCATCTTCCCACTAGCACAGCTACACATGGAATCAACCCTGCCCATCATGCTCAGGCTCACAGGTCAGTGACAGCTCCCAGTACCACAGCTCTTTGCTCATTACCAGCCTAACATGTACCAAAAAATAAAAAAAAGGCAGCAGAGAAGTTTTGCTCAAGTACATTTTCTGCTAACACTCTGTGCTTTATGTGTGCATTTCATCCAGGGTCATCTAGTGACTCTGCCAAACTCTCAAAAAAACATGGGAGCTAGGAAAAAAACAATAGAGAAAGACAAGCCTGGTACATCCAAACACCAGGCTCAAGGAGAGCCCTTGCACATGGGCCACCCAGCCCTGGCATCAGTGAGAGCTGGGCATGGCTGCACAAGAGCTGTGCTGGACCTCCCCTAGAGGAACATTTTCTATACATCTTGTCTGAGGTGCTGCAAACCACAGGATTTGTTATCAGCACAGGCTATGAAACAGAGGAAGGGGGAGTCCTTGGAGAAAAACACTCATTTGTTGCACAGAGAAGAGTTTGGAAGTGTTTACAGCCATATAAGTACAGAGGATCTTTAGAGGATGAAGTAATTTCTCCATGTGTATTTCTGACTTTATTCACTTTATTCAAGGCTGTCACTTCTACAGCTGCAGGAAAATGCTAAAGATCTGTAGAAATTCCCCTATAACCTGCACCCAGAGACAGAGCAGAGAACATTCACTGTGTGAAAAAGTCATTCATCCTGCCTGCAGGCTGGAATATGAATAATTCTGCCCCTGCTACACAGTCCTACATACTGCTTTACCAGCTCTGCACAGGGTGCCCTGCTCTCTACAAAATCCTACAAAGTTCTTCACACAAAAGCTCCTACAGAGAGCTGACCATCAGGATTTCAAAAAGCTCAGAGTGTTTTAGAAAGCAAGGAAAGCATAAACTCAAGCCCAGAAAACCAAAGAGAAAACCACACAAGGCTACAAACAAGCCCCAGTCCCTGCAGGGCTGCAAGAGCAGATCAGGTGCTTGCCAGCCTGGCTTCAGGGGGTGCAGGTACCTGCTTCCAGCACCTCTGAAGGAAAGGGATGCTCCCCTTCCTCTGGAATGCCACCACTGCACACATGCCCCTGAGAAACCCCAGAAACAGCTTCCACAGATGGCATTTCACCCACAAGAACAGTCTGGTGGCACACAGACACTTATTTGGTCTTTATGTGGTGAAGCTGGTGCCAGTACAGGAGCTAAGGAGCCTGAGCCCACTCTGCTACATTATCCTGCCACCTGAGAAAGGGGGACAGAAACTCAGAGAACAACAGCACAGGGTTAAAGGAATAACCAAAGGTCCCAAACAGCCTTGGCTTCCTACAGATTATCACCCTGATAAAGCTCAGTGGAATCAAATTGACTGGACATTTTTATCAGTGCATTTCCCACCCCCAAATGACAGCCCAGGTCCCCCACTCTCTTCACTTGTGTGCTCAGAGTGGCTCTGCTCAGCACAGCCTCCCCCAGCCTGCAGAGCCTCTCTCCCTCAGGCTGAGGACAAGCACTGGGTCACTCTGGGGGACATCAGGGTGGCCATCCAGATTGGGGTTGTGACAAAAAAAGAGGGAGAGGGTGGTGGCCAGGCTGAAGCAGCACAGAGCTGCCCAGGGAGTGCTGTGTCTCACTGACCTGTGGAATATTTGCGTGTCCTCTCCGAGTCTTTGTACAGGGATCCCATGATATCTCCCATGGATCTGGAGATCCTCATCTCATGCTGCTTGCTGTTGTTGGGCTGCAGGAGCTGGTGATCAGACAAAGGGAATGATCAGAATTGGCCAGAGCCCTGTGGACACACCATGTGAAACCCTGTATTTGGCTCCCTGGGACCCTATTACCCAAGAACTGTTAAAAAAAAAAAAAAAAGGGAAAGAAAGAAGACATGCACGTAATCTAGAGTGATCCAAAAACCATTCACAAACATTTCACATCTGCTAATAAAACAGTCTAACAAGATTAAGCTCTCACAGATAATGGCAAATACAGATATTTGACATAAAAGACTGTTGCTGCACTCCATTATCTCCAGATAGGTACAGAGACTGATCACTGGACTGAAAACATTTGCAATCCCAAAATCAGCACCTCTCCTCCCTGCTCCCTAGACTCCAGTGGCAGCTGAGGCACTGCAGAGGTTCCTCTGCAACAGGGCAGAGGAACAGAGAGGGGAAGGTCAGGAAAAACAGGTAAGCAAGAGCAAAGAAAAGCATATCCAGCTGGTAACCTGGTAGTGGCCAGGTTTTACTAAGATTCTACAACTACATGCTACAGTGAGCTGTGATTTTATGGTAATTTGATCTATGACCTCAGAACCATGTGCTCTCACACACAGGAGCATGGCCACATGCTGCAGGAAGAGATGGACCTGCTCCCAAGGGCAGGCAGCATCCACCTGGCTCCTCTGCTCTCTGACTTGCAGTACTGCTGTGCCCCCACAAACTGCCCCATTTCCACCCAGGGTTTCTGACTTGCAGTACAGCTGTGCCCCCACAAACTGCCCCATTTCCACCCAGGGTTTCTGACTTGCAGTACTGCTGTGCCCCCACAAACTGCCCCATTTCCACCCAGGGTTTCTGACTTGCAGTACTGCTGTGCCCCCACAAACTGCCCCATTTCCACCCAGGGTCTCTGACTTGCAGTACTGCTGTGCCCCCACAAACTGCCCCATTTCCACCCAGGGTTTCTGACTTGCAGTACTGCTGTGCCCCCACAAACTGCCCCATTTCCACCCAGGGTTTAGGAAACCCCAAGTGATGCCTCAGTTTCCCCTGGGACTCTGCTCCCTGCACTTCCCAAGCCTCTCAAAAGCAGTGGAGAAGCTCCAAGGGCTGTGAGCACCCGCAGAAGAATGGGAATAAGTGAGTTTCAAGACTCCCAATCACTCCAGTACTTCTAGGAAATAAAAAGAAGAAACAAAGTTGCAACATCTACAAATCCCTTGCTCTACAGCCTGTGCTTGGGGCAGCACGACATGTGCTTTGGCAAGACACTCCGTGCAAGAGAGGTCAGGCTAACAGGCTTAACTGCAAAACCACTGAGCTCAGGAAAAAACTAATAAGTAAATAAAGATGGAAAAAACCCAGACAGTTCTGCCTGAGACTGAAGGATCCTCCAGTTTGCTCTTCCCAGCTTTTAGCACGGAGGGAACAGTCCCCATGCTGCCACCCAGCATGGCAAGGGCCAGGGCATCACCCTGAACACAGGGGAGAGGTGAAAAGGAATGGTGGCAGCATCTCTAGAAAGAAAGAAAGCACAAGGAGTCCTCTCAGCTTTGAGGGTCAGCCTGGTGTTTAACCCTTCACAGGAGCCAGAGGGAGCTGAGCTCAGCCTCTGGGCTGCTATCACAGGAAGATTTCTGAGCAGCTGAGCCAGAGCAGGCCTGACCCCCCTCATGACCAGCCTGCCCTCTGCTCTGCACCATCAGGAGACTCCTTTCCACTCCCCAGCACAATAACAAGGCACCTCAGGCTGCACACAAAGGAGCAGAGAAGGTGAAGGGCTCACGTTCGCTTTCTTTGGAGCGCTCACAAGGATCCGCAGGCTCTTCAGGGAAGGGCTCAGCTCCAGCTGTTCCATGGCTTTGTCCAAATCTTCCTGGGATTTCAGTGGCATCAGGAGCTGGAAGGGATTAAACAAACACCAGAGGATGGCAATGTCACACTTTTGGGTAAACAGAAGGAGGCAGATTCCTACAGGGAGCAGCTTGGGAATCAGGGGATGAGGGAGGAACCCAAGGAGGTGATGGAAAACGGGGCCCCCATGCCCTCCAGCTTGCTGAGCTCTAATATTTTCTTCCAAGACCTCATTTACCAAGGAACAGATGCAAAAAAAAGTCACAACAAACAACATCTGCAAGGAGAAAGCTTAAAGGTCACACCAGCAATCCAGTGTGGGAAAAGGAGAGGGCTGGGATGAAACCTTGGGCTTGCTGCCTGCTGCTCTGGGGCTGCTCTGATTCTGCAGGCAGGACCTGCTGCTACCCAGCCCCAAAACAACCCCACACATTCCTGCTGGGCTGATGGTCATGCAGTGGTGCTCCAAGACACCAGTGAGTTGCACCCAAGGATTTACTCTGGCAGATGCTTTGTGCCCTTCCCCAGTGCTGCAGCCTGTGTTCCTGCACACTGACACAACTCCCTGGTGTCTGGCCATCAGGTGAAACCGGGGAACATTCCACAAATAAAAGGATTTTCCCTTTTGATATGAAAGGTGTGCATTGCTCTCCTTCCAAGAACCACTTCTTTAACTCCCAGCAGAACAAATTCAGATTGCTGCTCTTTGTAAGAACAGAGAACTACACAGTGCCGTGTCTGTCAGGCAGCAAAAAGTGCTGATGTTTTCCTGGGAAATGGCAGAGCATGGCCCTCATACCTCCATGGGGAATGTGACCCTCCCAACCTTGCTGTGTGGTGTACCATGTCCTGCAGACAGCCTGCAAAGCCTCCAACACCCAACACAGCTGCACTTCAGAGGAGCTCTGTGGCCTTCTGCTGCCCTGGGCTAAGATTAAAAGCACAACTTCTTGCCCCTCATTCCAGGATTTTCTGCCTAATCTCACAGCAAACAGGCCTCAGCCTCTGCAGCTTGCCTGGGGCACTGGATCCAGCACAGCACATGTTATTCTCATGCCTGTGCCAAAGTACACTGTAACTGCACTGACCAAAGGCACCGAGCAGCCACAGCTCCCAGCAGGCTCTCACTGCTCTCACTGGGAGCCACAGCTTCCCAGAACTCCTGAAAGGTGGCTCAGCCCTCTGGGCAATCAGAGCTTCTGCCATCAGCCACAGCAAACCCACCTCAGAGCAGCTGCCACACAAGGTGACACTCACAAGCCAACTGGGACAACCTGCTTGATGCCAGGGTGTTGCCAAGGGTTTGGCTGGTGGCCTGGAGGCAAATACAGCTCAGACTGTGTGCTCCTGGCCTTGTGGCCAGGAACCCCAGAGATATCCTGGGCTACAGCTCAGACTGTGTGCTCCTGGCCTTGTGGCCAAAAACCCCAGAGATATCCTGGGGTACAGCTCAGACTGTGTGCTCCTGGCCTTGTGGCCAAAAACCCCAGAGATATCCTGGGGTACAGCTCAGACTGTGTGCTCCTGGCCTTGTGGCCAAAAACCCCAGAGATATCCTGGGGTACAGCTCAGACTGTGTGCTCCTGGCCTTGTGGCCAAAAACCCCAGAGATATCCTGGGGTACAGCTCAGACTGTGTGCTCCTGGCCTTGTGGCCAAAAACCCCAGAGATATCCTGGGGTACAGCTCAGACTGTGTGCTCCTGGCCTTGTGGCCAAAAACCCCAGAGATATCCTGGGGTACAGCTCAGACTGTGTGCTCCTGGCCTTGTGGCCAGGAACCCCAGAGATATCCTAGGGTACACTGGGAGGAGCCCTTGCAGCAGGTCAGGGAAGGGATCCTGCCCCTCTGCCCAGCCCTGTGAGGCACATGTGGAGTGCAGGGCCCAGCTCTGGACTCCAGAGAGACAGGGATCTCCTGCAGCTGGGCCAGCTGAGGCTGCAAGAACAATGAAGGGATTGGAGTATGTGTCTTGTGAGGAAAGGCTGAAGGAGATGGAGCTGTTCAGGCTCAAGAAGAGATGCTGAGAGGGGACCTCATCCCTGTCTGTGCCTGTCTGCAGGGAGGGCTCAGAGCAGGGACCAGGCCCTGCTTCCTGTGGCCAGCAACAGGAAGGGGGAACAGGCTGGAAATGATGCCCAGGAAGTTCCCCCTGGATATGAGGCAGAACTTCTTGTGCAGTGACCAAAGCCTGAACAGATTGTCCAGAGAGGCTGTGGAGTCTCCCTCCCTGGGGATATTTCTGAACCATCTGGACACAATCCTGTGTTTCTCTCTCTTCTTGACCCTGCTTAAGAAGGGAGGTTGGACCAGATAACCCTCTGTGGTGCTTTCCAACCTGACCCATTCTGTAATCCTGTGATCTCCTCTTATCCTTCATTCATATTTGAATGAACAACCTGTACTCCCCACAGATACCAGACAAAGATGGTTTAGGAGTATGCCTCCTAAATGCAGTGCTCAGCCTGCTCCCTTGGGCAGCAGAGGTGAGAGATTCCCTTGGGGCACTGCTCAACCCTCCTGAGGTTCATAAGGGCTTTGCCTCAAGCAGACCAGGCTCCTCCTCTACACACCCCCAGACAGAGCTGAGAATGGTGGAGAGCTGCTCTCCCTTGTTTCACCACCAAGCAGAATTTGACTCTGAACTCTCAGCTCAGCCCCACTGCTCACCCATCCCTTCCCTGAGCTCCTCACAAGTGCTCAGAGCAATACCCCAGCTGCTGCTCTGAACAGAATGTTCTGTAGGTCACTGCATCTCTCTCCAACATCACAACATGAACATGTTTGCATGCCTCCTTAAGAGGAGCCAAAAACATCAGGGAGAAATTGCCCTCTTGTAAAAGGGACTGGAGCCAGTATTTAGCTTGGCTTTACCTATTACCCACATCTGGCAAGAAAATTCTGCTCCATTTGGCTTCCAGACTGTGGCACATATGGATATCAGGAACAGGTATCTGCTAGGCATGAAACTCAAAACAGACTCATGCAGAACCATGGAAGTAACTGCCAGGATGGATTTCCAGAAACTGGGTATATTTGATCTAAAGACTGAGTAGCTGTGATTAACAGCAAAGTTTACCTACATAAAAGTTGCACAAACAGAGCTTATTGGATTTTTTTTTTCTTGCTTTTAAATAATATCCTCCCCTGGAGCCTGATGTTTTAGTGGGGGACTTGATGGTGTCTCCACTGCAGGTTGAAAAAGTGAGGGCAAAGGCTGAGGTTTCACCAGCTACAACAGCACTGTCAGACCTCACTCCATGAGACACCACAGAAAACCAAAGAATTGTAGGAAACAGGGTTGGGGAAAAATCTGAGAGGTCAATTAGTTCATCTTCCTGCCCAATGCAGGACCAACTGGCATCAACAATGCTCGACAAATGTTTGTTAAATATGCTTTTATCTGCTCCCTCCCCCCCATAATGGTGCCTCTGCCATTTCCCCAGGCTTTAACTCCCCTTAAGCTCACAGAATGATGCTGAGGGGGAGGAGACAGCAGGAGGTCAGAAGAGAAGTGGTGGCACAGGGAGGTTCAGTGAATTTCTGCACAAGCCACATCACAAATTGTGTCTTTGCTGCCCCTGGCCAGGCCAGGCCAGGCTTTGCTGTCCCACTCCTCAGCAAGATGAGCCCAGCCTAGAGCCAACACAGCCATGCCCCATGGGGGACACCCATGGCCAGGCCCTGCTGTTATCTGCAGCAGCCCCAGCCTGCTGATTCCATGGTCCCAGCAGGATGTGATTCATGTGTGCCCCTGCTCCACCCAGCTGCCATGCTCATCCCACTGAGCCTGGCCTCAGGACACCTCCTCCACCAGGACAGGGACTGCCACTCTGTGAGATTCTGCAGGGGCCTCAGTCTAAATATGCTCTGCAAGGTGCCACTGCAAGAGAGGTGTCTGATGGCAGCAAAGAGTTACTGCCCAGCTCCTCTGGAGCATAAAGACAGGGTGAAATATTTAATTGCAATGAGTCCGTGGTCATGTTCCCTCTGAAAGTTGCAGTCATGACACCCAAAACCCTGACCCAGAAGCAGATGCTGGGATGTCACCATGTGTGCATGTAGGCTGTGCCCTCAAAGGAAAAAGACTTTTATTTGTGGATGTTCCCTGGTTTATTGTGTTTCCAGAACAACAACCCTGAGTTACTGCTCCTCAGACATCTTCCCAAAGCTGTGGGTTCTCATGAGGTGGAACTTTTAAGTGTAGGAAAACTAAGCACTGCCCTAAGAAATCAGGAGTTCCCAAAGGCCTGCTCATGGCCCTGCTATGTGCTGTGCACATGCCCAGAAAGAAGGTCTCTAACATGGGATAAAATGCATTATTTAAGCTTCTGTTTGCTGTTGTTGGAAAGAAGTCCTCTTCCAGTGGGAAGAAACCTGGAATGAAATGAGTCATTCCTGGAGAATTCAATGGCAGGCTTTTCCCAGGAGGCTGTCAAAGAATGCCCAAGATTAGAAACCTGACTGCATTCAAAGGCAAAACCCAGTGGACACTTTGGTATCATGAGGTACTTACTGTAAAAGAATAGGAACTTTCTTTGTGGAGCAAATCTCTATTGAAACAGAAGGGAGAAAATAATAAATGGGGGGGAAAAGAAGAAAGGTCTCTTCAGGACCTCTCTCTCCATTCATACTTTAATCAAAGGCTCATCTGCAATTAATACTTGAACAAGCCAGTTGCCAGGGCAGATCCAAAAGGATCTGTGTTTAAAACCCACCTCTTTGCCATTTGGCCCTTTCCTCCTTCCCAAAGCCAAACCCATCCTGAGAATCCAGTGGCTGCAGATGCCTCACAGGAAAACACTGAGCACACCAAAAGAGATGCCAAGGATTTCCCCCTTCTGCTAACAGCCCTCAGCAGGACCCTCCTTCCACACACAGTGCTGGGCTCAAAAGTGGGAAAAACACAGAGGTCCATGTGATGAATCATGGAGGAGAAAGTCCTCCTAGCCTTAAAATGCAAGGCTTGCACAGGGAGGGTTTCTTGGCTGCTTTCATGTGGCCACAGGGGCTGCTGGAGGAACGTTCAGTGATGCACATTTCAGTGCAGACCCAGCCACAAGAACGTGCACGTCGTGCTGGGAGTTGGGGTGAGACAAAGTCAGGGCTGGAGAAAAGAACACTGTGAGCAGCACTGTCCTCCTGCTCTGCACTCCATGCTCCTGCAACTGCCCCCAGGTGGGAAGGTTTCACATCTCTGATGGAGTGAGGGGGGAAAGACAATGTTCCTGTGTAACAGGCCTTACTTGGAATCATTTTGACAAAGGAAAGTCCTGGCTTGAAGGCTGAGAATCCATCTGAGCTGTGTTCAGACAACAGCTCCTGTGCACTCACTAGCTGGGAACCATAAAATAAGGTTATTTTTCTTCAGATCCAAGTAAAACACAAAATCAGGGCCTTCAGAACAAACCACTGCTCAATTCTGAAGCTGGCAGCAGGCACCCCAAAGCTGCCCCTCAGCAGTAAGGAGAAGAGTACCTCATTGTTCACACAGACCAAGTCCATCGTCTGCCCAAAAGCGTCCGTGACCTTCTGCACCACCTCCTTGAATCTGACTGGTCTTGGAAACTGGATAATCCTGTATACACAAACAAATACAACAACACTCAGTTTAGCAGAAGCACACTGGGATCTGGGGTTTGACTGACAGTACAGAAGAAAGGACTTGTGTTCCATCATGAAGCATAGAGACTGCTCCTTGCCTTTACACTCACAGAAATGCTGCTCCTCTGCTCTGCCCAAGGGGGGACTTGACTACCCTGCAAAAATATCTACCAAAAATCTTTGTGCACCTCCCTCCAATGTGAGTACAGGTGGAAAAAAAGGAAGTCCAGCAGCCCTCCACTGGAGAAAACCCAGCTCAGGCAATGGTCAGTGATTTATCATCTCTGTTTTCAGCAAGAGGCTCTGAATAGGGAGGAGGGCTGAAGTGGGGACTCATCCTGTACCATCACACACAGCACCTCTATAGGTATTTACAGCAGGTACAGTCTAACCCTAAAATAACACTACTTCAATTTTCTTTGGCTTTAACATGCACCTTGGACCATCAGCCTGTATCCTGCCCTGTCCCAGTCACCAAGCCGAGGTGATTCCATGAAAATGTCAAGCAGGGAAGGGCGGACAAGCTTTAACTCCCAGCCCTATTTTTATGGGACCCATGCCCAAAATCTGGTTATCTTAAGTAAGTGTCATGGACTGCTAATCAAAGGACACATTTCTGTAGAGTTCCAGCTCCACTGTGCTTCAGCAGGGCTCAAGAATTAACAAGAGAAAAGGATCCAAGCGTGCACCCAATGTCCCTGGTAAAAGAGGCATTTAATGACTTCCAGCTTGGAACCATTTTGCCTGCTGCAAATCCCAGGAGCTTCTTGTGGCAAACAGGATGATGAGACAGGGCTCTTTCATATAAAAGTGCAGCTGATTTTAGGGGAATGAATCCTGCTGTGAGCTCGGCTGCAGGTGGCTGAAGTCAGCAGGACAGTGGTGGGTGGAAAAGGTAATTTTTTTCCCTGTGTTCACAGGGGACTGGAATAGGTACCTACCTTTTCTCTCCTTCATATTCAAACTTGATCCTGACACTTCGCTGCTGAAAGAAAAAGCAGAGAATGGTGAGAATGGTCCCAAAGTGCATCCTGGATTGACCCATAGACCCAAAGCTGACAGGAGCTCTCAGGGAGACTCTCCTAACTCTGTTCTGCTTTATTTAGGCCAAGCTGCCTGGTGGACTCACAGCCTTTGGGGACACTCCACATTGCTGAGGAATGTGCTTGTCAAAAAATAAGTTCTTTTGTAAGCAGGAAGACATTCACCTCTATAACTGTTAGTTTTAATGACATTAATTTATAAAGCTGAAAATTGTTCTGAACTCTTGGGAGCAAGGCACTATTATCAAAGAGGCCAATATGGCAAGTGTCTGATGCCTGTCCACCTTCAGTGCTTCCATGGTTGCACCCCAGTACTCTTCTGCTGGAAACCCAAAAACCAAAGCTCAGAGGATGTTTACTAGCACACAGGAATATCTGAGGTAAAGAATTAGTAAAAGCAAGCATTCTCTAATGGAAGTGGAGACAATCTGAAATTTTAAAGCCAACAGTGCCAAGATGGTTGAAGGGCTGGTTGTTATTTTGTTGGGACCTACAAAATGCAGAGTGTATCAGGCCCAATACACAATGCACAGCAAATGCTCCCTCTGAACTGACCCACTGCTCACCTCAAGAGAAACCACAAAATTTGCCCAAGGAAGAGCCAGTGGAATCACAGGCACACTGGGCACACAGCTGTACAGGAACCAGTAAAAACCACTTCTCCCATCCTCTATTTGTGCATATTTAGCAGCAATCAAGACCACAAGGAGCTTTTTCATTCCTTCAGCTTCTCAGGCCAAGTCGAGCCAAGCATCCCTCTAGCATCCCTCAGATCATTCCAGGACTTTCCGACGGTCTCCAACGCAGATCAAACCCCTCTTTACTCCCCAGACCAGGTCTAGTCACCCCACTTAACCAGCATTTTCCTCCCCACAGTGCCCACCAGCCTCCTCAAACAGCTCTCCTCCCATGCAGAGAGAAGTGCTGGCCACCTCCCTCCGAGGTGTAACCCCGGGGAGGGCTCGGTCCCGTCTCTCAGGGATAACTCCCAGCTGGGTGGGTGACAGCCCTTCCTGAGCACAGCACTTATCTCTGGGCCTGGGCTGCCAGTGTGTGAAGGCACACTTTCCATCCTCTCAGAGGGAAAGCAGAGCTGCAGTGGAACAGCTTTGTTCCTAACGAGGAAAAGGAGCTGGAGCGGTGCCCTCGGGTTTGTTTTTCAACCAACAGCTCCTCGAGTTCTGCAAACACCCACTGAAATTCAGGAAGTCGAGGCTGGAGGCAATTCTGTGTAAAAGCTTAAATAGATTCAGGTTAAACACGCTGGATCACCCAAAATGCATCCTTGTTATCTCTGCTCGTGGCATTTTCTGTGCTTCCGGAAGGGCTGGGAAGAGCCAGTGCTGGGACAGTCACCAAGTGGGGCACTCCAGCAGTGATACAGGTCTGTGCTAAACAGGCACTTACATCACCTCGCTGGCTACAGCCAGTTCTCCAGACCCACAAAGTTTGGAGAGTCTCCAGGTTCATTTCCAGAACCAGGCCCAACTTGTAAAAATACCAGATTAATTCTAAACCAGTCCCAAATTCCAAAGGAGAAGAGATGATCATAACCTGAAGGTTCCAATCATTCTGGAGAGACAGGCAAATACAGGTGGGATGGGGACCTTGGATTATTTGGGCTGGAAAAGAAAAGATACAGGCTCTTTCATGCCAAATTTTATTTGCACATGCCTCTCTGAGCAGGCCTGGCTGGTTTATTCCTCCTGAATGCTGGCAATAAATTAGCCAGTATGGGTTCACTGACTATAACACCACAAAACCTTTCTCTAAAGAAAGAGATTAAAAAAAAAAAATCAGGGCAAGGAACTTTCGAGGTTTCTCCTTACAAAGAGCAGGACGTGGAAGGGGAAGAGCTCACACAGCTCTGGCCTCACTGCAGGAAACCTTTCAAAACACAGGTTTCACTTTCAGCACAGCCCCAAACACTGCACGGAGCTGGGATGCAGCACACGCTGCCTGGTTGTGCTGAGTAGCACAGATTTCACAGACAAACAAGTTTTGAAAAACAGCTTGTGGCTGGAAAATGTCAGAACACTTGTCCAAAGCTCCAGAGAGAGAAGAAAATGAAAAAAAATGAGCCACGACCCTGCTGCATCCTTTTCTTCTACATCAACAACAAGGCTGATGTGCCGTGGCCCGACGCCAGCAGAAGGACGCCAGCTGCCCCACACTGCTCTGCTCCTGAGCAGAGCTACAAACACACTGGCTGCAACAGGGAAATGAAAACCCACTTCATTTCTTAATTAAATAACATTTTTCTTTAATATGAAACACACTAACCTCTTGCCTCCCTCCAAGAAACCAAGACCTTTAGCTCGCAAGCATTTGGAAGAGGGATAAATTCATATTTATCAGTCTGAGAAGTTGATTACAGTTTAATTTTTCAGGCTTCCCTTGGCTTGCTCATGTTTTTGACCTACAGCTCAAGCTGAATTCATCACTGCTATCAGCAACAAATACTTTTTTTCCTTTTTTAAAGGAAAAAAAAAAGAGTGGGCAGTGCCCAAAGTACTAGGAAATCTCAGGGGATGCAAAGCACTTCCTAAATGCTGGAGCAGGCTGTGATTTTTTACACCCATGGAAGTCTGGTTTGCAGCAACTGCTTTAAGATTACACAGGGAGCCTGGGGCACTGCCAAGTGCTGGAGCAGAACCTCGTGTGAGTCTGCACCCAACACCTCAAATGAACTATCAGGGGGAATGCAGGACCAGCACCTTCCACAGGAAGGAACTCAACACAGCGTGCAAGTGTTGAGGTGGAAGAGGTGTGGGTGGTGGAAGCTGCTGGGTCCAACTCACTTTTGCAATTTTGTGAGGAATGTGACTCCTCTTGCACAACCCAGGTTGAATTATTCATTGCCCCTGCCATCAGGTGTCACATGAGGTCAAGGGCAGCCCTGCTCTCCTTCAATCAAGAGGTCCTTAGTGGGTGTAGGAGAACAAGCTGAGCCATCCAAAGGCTTGTGTTAAATACAGTGCAGGAGAGGGGTAAGGACAGCCATAGGCACCAGCCTTAAACCCTGAGCTCTGGCAGAGCATTTAAACCATATTTTCAACAGCACTGTGAGAGCTCAGGCAGCTAATGGAGCAAACAAGGGAAACTGAGGCACAAAGACAGGAAGGGTTTTGGTAAAGGGTGTGAAGAGAAAGCCCAGCCTGGGAGGAGAAGGCTCCAAGAAGACCTTCTTGCAACATTTCAATATATAAAAGAGGCTTTATAAGATGGAGAGAGACTTTTTACCAGGTCCTGGAGTGACTGGATGAGGGCAACAGTTTTCAACAGCAAGAGGCTAGATTGAGGCTGGATATAAGGAAGACATTTTCTACCACTGGGTTGCTGAGACACTGGCCCAGGTTGCCAGAAAAGCTGTGGATGCTCCATCCCTGGACGTGTTCAAGGCCAGGCTGGACTGAGCAATGTGGTCTAGTGACATGTCCCTGCCCACAGCAGACAGCCTGGCCTTTAAAACCCTTCCCAGCTCAAACCATCCTGTGGTTCACTCTCTGGAACAGCACAGGGGTAGAGGGAAGCACAGAATGAAGGTGTTTGGCCCCCTGGGCTGTGTGCACTGAGCAGTTTTCCCTCTCTCTGTGTGTGTTTCACAGAGGGCCCACGGCCCCGCTGGCGCCTGCAGACCCCGCTGCGACACAAACAAAACCAGCGACAGCCCTGACAGGAAATACCACAGCCATTCCCTTCGTTTCTACAATAATTTCTTCTCCAAAATACTTGTACTGGCATTTCCTCCAGCCCTGCAAACAAATGGTATTTTACTCCTTCTTGCCATATTCCTCCGAAAGGAAAAAGCAAAGTCGCTGCCGTGGCCACAAAGCCATCACCATCCTTCCAGGCTTTCCTTGAGGTATTTTTGGCTCTTTCCTCAAAACTTCGGGTTTCACAGAGAAAAGACCACAACTGCCAAGCTTCAGAGAGGGAATTCAGGTGGGAATTTGGGGAGAAAAGGGGCAACTGCTTTTGCCTTTTGGCTAGGGTCCATGTACCCCAGCAGGCTGGGCCAAGCTTGACCCTCAGAGCTGGAGCAACAGCCCTGTGTGCTGGTTTAGATTAAGGAAAATGTTGGAAAAAAATGGAAAAAGTGTTTCCAAAGGAGGTGAATCATGATCTTATACCGAGATCCCTGAAGAGCTGACTGCTGTTTGTAATAGAAGCACACACGGAGAGCAGGAAAACAAGCAGCCAGTCCTAAAATGGAAGCGGCTCTGGAGGAGCAGAAGATGCTGAGCACCCTCTCTGCTGAACAGCCAGGGGGTTCCTCAAATTGGGGTACAGATCCAAGCTGAGCCTGTGGAGAAGGCTGTCTAATGGCAGAGGCAGGCAGGGAGGCAGCCCTGCACCTCCACGCCTGTCTGTGTCACTGGAACAACTAAAATTGCCATTCTGGAAAATCCCAAACTAGCACAAATTCAAAGATTCCTCCTGCCATGTCCTCTCCTCCTCCTAAACTCTGCTGCCATCAGAAACAGTGCTCTGTCCAGACCCCACTTTTGTGGCTTGTTTTAGACCTGCTCCTGTCAAACCTAACCAGAGGACAGCTTTGCCCAACGCTGAGACATCACAAGGATGGGGCCTTTAGAGCACTTCTTCCACCCAAATCCACAGCTGCCTCCCAAACCAACTGGGACAAAGCCTCTGACTTCAGCATTAACCCTTCTGTGGTCAAGAAAGGCAGGAAAAATCATCACAAGGGGCCTCCTATTCCCTTTGGTGCTGCTCATTCCAGCCTTGCTCATATCCACCCACAAGATTTTGGGCACTTATTTTGCCTCAGTTTCCCCCCTGGGTAACATGGGGGCAATGAAAGACACCAACTTTTGCATGCCACAGGCTAATCAGAGGGTTTGTTCTCACGTCTCTCATTTTCTACTCGCTGGATTAGGAAACAACGAGAAAACCCCGCGGAGCCGCGCTCGAGTCACTCCCTTCCTACAAAGCCACAAAGCAGTGGGATTCCTCCTCAACTCCTGGCTCTGGCTGACAGGAATCAGCACTACAGGGCCAGGCTGAGGGGACTCCTACACTTCCCCAAGGTGCAGCTCGTTTGCATCAGCCCTGTGCTCGCCCCTGCCCTGGGTTCCTCACACGCCAGACGGCTGGAGCGCGGCCCCGACCGCAGAGGAGATGAGTAACGCACAGCGCTGGGAATTATCTGCACAGAACCCCCACACACACTGGCTTATTCAGCAAGCAGACAGAAAGCAGTTTGTCTGGCACTGCCCCTTCATCACTGCAGGGGCAGAAGGCACAATATATCCCAGTCCCCCCGGATCCTTGCAGCTTTTTTTTCCTCTGAAAGCACCTGAGCAGCTCAGAGGACAGTGATGGTGTCTAGAAGGTTCGCTGCTGCCTGTTGCAGACATTTCTGTTTCAGACAGCAGCAGAAATCACAGGCTTCAAAATGTTTATCTAAAACCACCCACCTGGCAGGAAAGAGGTTTTTTCCAGCTGGATTTCTCACTGGTATCACCCTCTTCATACCCAAGTCAGCTCCACAGGCAGACATGGGAAAGCCTCTTAAATCCTTGGGACTCCACTGCCTTTGCCATCTCCAGCCTTGGCAGTGATTCCCAATCCCAATCAGTGATTTGCACCCTTGTTTCTGCTCCCCAGGTGAGGAAATCCCTGCAGATCCCCTCATAGAAACTCCCATCTTCCCCCATCCACACCATATCCTCCAGGTGATAAAGCCAAACTCCTTTTTAGGCTGCTCAAAGACCCACAGAGAGCCCTACAAAATGAGCTGTATTTTACTGGAGTTACAACCAAGCCTTGTCTTGCATCCAGCTTGCCAAAGAGAACAGTCCAGAGGTAATTTACTAAAAGAACCACTTTTAGAACAGTCTGACATTTGATGTACATGGAGAAACATTTCCTACAAACATTTAATTGCCGTGGGAGAACTTGCCATAGTGATTAAGGTGGCAGAGGAGCTGCTGGCTGTCCCTGGCTGTGACAGAGGCCCACTGACAAGCAGCTTCATAGTGCCAGTTGCCAAGGGCTATTTATAGAAATGAATGGATGTGCACATAAATAGATCCAAAATAAATGCTAATTTAATTGCTCTTTTCTCCCTCCATCCTGTTGTTCAGGATTTCCTAATTATTTGGGGTTTCCCTTCTTATTCCACTCGTCTTTTTCCTTAATGAACACAGTGCAGATCTTCATTCTCTTCTTTCCTTTTTCCCCTCTTCAGAGACATTTCTATGAACAAACTCCCTTGTTCAGTCTGAGAGATAGCCTGGAAGGGGCTCCTTCCAGCCATGCCAGAGGATGCACAAGGAATAGCAGAGTGATTAAAGGAGTCACAGAGGAATACCAGTGCAGAAGCTGTACCAGGAATAATGTCAGAAGGAACCCTCTGCTCCCAAAGAACAGCTCTGCTTTTCCTCACACGAGGAAGGAAAAGGGTGTCCATGGCTGTCCCTAGAATTCCCATAAGGCAGAGAGGCAGGACAAGGCAGTGGCTGCCACACCTGACCAGGACTCAGGAGATTCCAGCTCAGCCATCACATCTGCTGTCAGCTGCCTGGGAATTCAAGGGAGGAAAATCAGCCAGGGTGTCCTGTTCTGATTTCCAGCCTGCTCTGCCACGAGGCAATGCACATCCAGAAACAGCCTCCACTCTAAACTCATTTCTGAGGGAAGAAAATAAGAAAAGAAAGATTTTTACGAAATTTGCCAAAGGATGTTCATTTCTTAAGATGAACTGAAGCAAAACTATTGATATTTTGGGAAAGAAGCATTTTGGAGCACACACAACCACAGGCTGTTTTGTTGTGTGGCCCAGGCCTATGAGGAATACAATCTGGCAGGATTCAATTATCAACTAGTGTCAAGAGAGCACTGAGGAAGCCCTCCAGGAGACAGGAATGAGATAGCACTTCAGTTGTGCTTCTCTGTGTACCAAAATCTGCTGCAAGCCACAGAGAACTGGCTAGTTAGCCAAGACATTCTTGTTGTGAACTCTGTCTTCCAGTGGAAATTTGGAACACTGACCAAAGGATTCCCATGCCTCAGAAAAAACATTTTTCCACAGAAAAAGAAATATTATTTTATTAATCTACTAACTGAACTCCCAAACCCAAGCAGTTCAATGTGAGCACGTTGCTGCAGGGCCTCATGAGAGGCACCAACAATTAGATGACCAAGAAGACATTTTATCACCAAAATGGCCCTGGTGCCTCATTCCCCTCTCAAGAAGGGAACTATGCAGGGCATCCTTCAGCCCAGCTGCCCAACCTAATCACAGGATTAGGTAAACCATAAAAATCACAGGATTAGGCAAGCAGTAATAAGAAAAACCAAGTACCAAAGGAACAGCAAGCATGACAACAGCACCTCCAAAGCAATCTCTCCCCCACATCAATTTCTGCCCTAAAAAACAAGGAAAAAAACCCCTAAAAGTGACCCAAACAAGCTGATGAAACTGAGCTAGAAACATGAACCAAGATCCCACTAATTGCACCTCCTCTGGTCGCTCCCCACCTCCTGCCATGCTGTGAGCCAGACGTGTTCCAGCCAGTCCAATTTAGTGAGGCAACAATTCAACATCCTCCAACGCCCTCCATCTCCTGGGACCTGCTGGTCTGACCCCTCAGCTCTGGATGTGTGAGGAGAGCAGGATCCTCACCATCCACATCTCCTACATAGGGAGCTCTGAGCAACCCTGAGCACGCAGCTTCACTTGTGAATAAAAAGAAAAATCCTGAAGGAGGAAGTGTTTTTCCAAGCATCAGTGCTCTAATGAGTAGGAAAGTTTGATTCTTGTATAGTAAAATATAATAGAATTCCTGTAATAAAATTAAACACAGCTGGCAGCAGATATTAGAGCATGGCATACCTCCATGAGTGATTTATAAATGAAGATGCAGAGTGGATGGGCTGTGGGTGTGGATTTGATTGCAAGATGCCAGCTTCATGCAGATAAGAATTCAATCAATGAAAACTACAATAATTTTCCTTATTTTTGACTAATTATCCGTGTATGTGCTACATTAACAGCCCAGGTCTCAAAAACAACAGCAGGGATTTTCCCCCATCGTGCAAAACAAATGTTTTAAGAGGAGCCTGAAAAGCTTTGCTACCCTGAAAGCAACTGGAGCTGGCTCCACACTGTCCCCACCCATCACTGCACACAAGATGCTGCCCTTGCAGCCATCCAAAGCTGCTCTGGGCTTTCTGCTTCTCCTGCAGCTGCAGGGAGCCAGCCCTGAGTTTCTCTGGTCAGTTCTGTAAACATCTTGGACTTTTTTCAGCATGAGCTGAACACAAACGCAGTGATTCAACTTGGCCAGCTGCTCCTGCCAGGCCACGCTTTGAAACCAGACGTGCGCACGTGTTTTCGTCTGCATGTGGCTGGGGAGTCCACAGGGATTCTGGAAGGGATTTTTCCTCCCTGCACCCAGACTGCTTTGTTTGCAGCACAAGTGACATGAAAAAGTGCTTGACGACAGCAAATGACAATTTGTTTTCTCCCTTGCTAGGCACCCAGCAGTTGCAGTGTTGACTGCAAGCTCATTCTAAACCATGGCACCAGAGGTGCAATTCCACGTGGATTTCCTGCCATGCTTCTCCAGCAGCTTCCCAGTTGTCCCAATCTTTTTCTCCCTTTTTTCTTTGCTATTTTGACAACTCAATTCTTTCTTCACAACTTTCCTGTTCCCATATTATCTGCTCCATAGACAAACATGCTATTAAATCCACTTCAGCTATTGCATCGATGTCAGCAAATAATTTCTGACATCGCTCAAGGGACAATGTTTTTTGCTCACCAAAACAACTCTGAATGTGCAACATGGCCAAAATCTTTAGGAGCATAAAGATAAACAGCAGTAATTCATAATTAAACACTTTATATAAGAATGACATTATTCCTCCCCAAAGAGCCTGGGTGTCTACAGCTCAGAATTGGCAGTCTGTCTTTCAAATATCTGAAGCAAAATGTGCACATAATAAATATTGTATTTCATTAACACTGTCAATAGAAAACAATTGACTTATCCAAGTCCTAAAGCTGCACAGCCTGAAACAAGTTCTGCTACTTTCAGAGCTAAACAACAGCTGGAAGTGGCTTGAGGTGAGACTTGAGATTTAAACCCAGTTTCAGGCCTTGTTGTTATATTTGTGAATAATTTGGGGCATTATCCTTCTGTGCTTCTCTGTGATATAGGGATGCCTGTAACTTCCTTTCAGCTCTTCAAAAAGAGGTCATAAACTTTGTAGATTGGTAAAATGATGGTATTTCTGATGTGCTGAGCACTTGTTAACTTCAGTTCTAACATTTAAACTCTGCTGAGCCAGCATGGCAAGCACCATGTCCTCCTCTGAGGTCTGCTGGAGTTTGGGGTGGCCTGAAGAAGCAAAGCCATACCTGTTTGTTGGAGTGGACACTGTTTTTATTCCTGTTGTTGTCCAGCAGCCCCCCACACTTGCCCAACGCTGCCAAATCCTTCATAATAGAGTTCAGAGCTTCTTCTTCATCTGCAAGAAAAGAAGAGACAACTGAAGTGTGGAAAGCAACCCTGCCCTCGGATGTGCAGAGTGAAAATGCAGCACTGCAAATAGAAACTTCCAACACAAATAATCAAAAGACACAATGCCAAGCTTTCCTGTTGAGAAAGGCATTCCAAGACCACACCACAGTCTCTCCCAGTCCAGTCTGTCTTGAAAACACAGGTTCCTTCATCACAGGTGAGACAGAGAATGAGATCTCATTGTCCCAACCTGAAAGGGCCTGCAAGAAAGCTGCAGAAGGACTCTCAATAAGGACATGGACACAAGAAAATGCCATTAAAATGAAAAAGGGTGGGTTTGGATTAGATATTAGAAAGAAATTTCCCTCTGTGAGGGTGGTGAGGCCTTGGCACAGTTGCCCAGAGAAGCTGTGGCTGCCCCATCCCTGGATACGTGCAAGGCCAGGTTGGATGGGGCTTGGAGGAACCTGGGCTAGGGAAAGGTGTCCCTGTCTTTGCTCACTCTTCATTAGAGGTGCTCAAGAGCCACAAGTGACCTTCCAAACCAGAAGCAGTGAGAAACCAGGGGAGAGAGAGAGGAATCCATGAGACAAGAGAGAAACTCAGCAGCGCTGGGGAGAAGACACTGAGAGCCCTTGTGGGATTTCTGATTTCTGCAGTAACAGGAGAACTCTGAGGGAGCACTGCCTCTGAAACCAACCTCCTCTTTTTCAGCACTTCAGCATCTGTGGTTGTGGCCTCTGGAAGCAGCTGTGAAGTGTTAAAGGCAGAATACCAACCACAAGCAGCAAGAACCTGTCAGGACCTAGGGCAGGGCACCGCGGCAGGAGGGTGTGAGACCCCACTGCAAACCCCATGCTTGTGCCACAGTCTAGGCAAATGTTAGGCACATGCAGAAATTACTGCAAAAAATACAAATGCAGCTACAAATTTTGTCTAGAAATGAGTGTCTCCAGGGACAGAACCACCCCTAAGCCAGGCCAGCCTGCAGATTTAACTCAAAGTCCACAAATATGTGAAAAATGACAAAAACCATATGAAATCAGACAGGACTGGACCCAAATATTGAGGATCTTTCCCCAGGGAGGTGTATGTCCTGGATCCTCCTGTTAGACATAACACCATCTCCTCCTGTTCTGCTCCTCCTGCTGGGTTCTGTGAGCAATGAAGCTACAAAAAAACCCAGATATGTGAGAAAAAGACCTCTTGTACATGTTCTGCTCCCAGAGTATATTAAAGAAATAAGGGGAAAAACTCGGGGAAAATGTTTCAAATCCAGTCTCACATTTCAGAGCTCGGAAATGAGCTCCAATGCCTACATCAAACTCTTAGAGAAAAGCCAATATTTTCCTGTAGGCAATGAGTGTATACATATTTAATTAATATAAACACATAGCTGTACATCAATATTAAAAATATAACTGATTAAAATAATAAAATTCATACATAAGTACATGAAAATGTAATCCCTTTTGCCTTCTACATGTCTCTATTTAGTAAAAACACAGCTATGTTTTTCCAGAGGGGTGGCAGGGAGCACAGCCTGAAGTGCTACAGGAAAAAACTCAAAAAAAGATAATTTTCAGTTCAAGTTCAGGGAAAAAAAAAACCAAACCAACAACAACAAATAAACACATCAAGAATGTCCCCAAAGTCTGGGTTTGGGGTGTTTTTCTTTTGTTGTTGTTGGTTTGTTTTGGTTTTTTTTAAAAGGACCTCTGGGACAAGCATAGTTTTCCACACAAATTTTGTAGTAGGAAAATACCCAACACACACACACAAAAAAAAAAAAAAAAAAAAAAAAAAAAAAAAAAGGCTTTTTTTTCTTTTCTTCCTCTTTGTTGGGGGGGAGGGAACAGGGGGAGGGATGAGCTAAAACAAACCCACAAAAACAAAACACCCTTACACCACCCTCCAGGAATTTTCCACCAAAGCTTTAATCTCTACAGTGCCCCTCACCCTCTTTTTTTTTTTTTTTTTTTTTTTTTCCCAGCAAGTGACAACAAAAGTTTCCTGCACTGGCTGACACAAAACACAATCTGTAATGTCCTGGGCCAACAGGCAGAGACAGAGTCCAACCACCCAATTTATTCCCCACCTCCAAACCCCCCTGGCAGCATCTTCCAGGGGAGGAATCTCTGCTTAACCCACCAGGGCCCTGGTTTCTATCACGTTGTCTTCCTCCTCTATCTGCACACCAACCTTGCCAAAGCTTTTTTTGTCACAGACTTCTGAGTCCACCAAGCACAGCCTTAAAAATTCCTGGTGCTGCAAACCCAGTCCATGATAAGTCACATTTCTTAGAAAGGCTAAAATTCTTTGCCAGAAGTGACTTTTTGCATCTCTCCAAACACAGCAAAGCAAGGAGAATCCACTCACTTTCAGAAACTGCTTAAATTCAGCTGCTGTCCAGAAATACCCAAGCACCAATGAACAGGCCTTAGAATAAGTGGTGTAAAACTGAGCTCCAGCTGTCCTGAATCAGGTACTAAAGAAAAAAAATGAAAGAGAAGCTATTTCTTGTATTTGACTGTCAAATCAGCATTTTCCTTCCTTTATCTACTAAGAAACTGATGCAAAAGAGCATTCTAAAAAGCATTTGAGGATTTTTAATTACAAAATACTAGTGCTGATTGTCAAAAAACTAAAATCCACTTCCATGACATCACTGCTGCAAAATAAGATAAGAAAACTTCTTCCTATCCAAGCAGGACAGGCTGTTTTCTGCTGCTGGAGGGTGAAAAACGACTTAAGCACAAGCAGAAATACAATATTTCCTTCAACTAATGTATTTCTATGTGCTTAACTATTTTCCAGCTGCTTTTAACAGTGTGTTTTTACTCCAAGAGAGCTGTGATTTCTGGGAGGCAATGACCAAAAGCCTCAAGTGTTCAAAACAAAACCCCCCACACCAGGCTCTGAAGCAACTTCTGAGCAGCAGCACAATTTGCATCATCTCTTGCAAAACCAACACTTCCCAGTCCTCTCCAGGGCAGCTCTGCTCAGGGACTGATCCTTTCCAGACTGAACCTCTTGCCCATCCTAATGACTGCTCCTGGGGTCCCCCAGCTGACTCCCAAGAAGGGTGGAGGACTTTGTTCCATGGAAAGATGCAGCCAGCTCAGCCAGTGCAGTCAAAATTCAAACAAGCACTGAAGTGAACTGGATAATTAAATCCAAATGCCACTCCCAAGCCTTTCCAGCAAGAGGGGTGTCACAGGCTGCTCCTTCTCTCCTTGGCTGGCTTTGAGGCAGGAGAGGGTCAAGGATGGATGGCTCTCCCAGGGACACAATGCCAGTTGTCAGGAATCCCCTGCCCCAGGGACAGGGAAAATCCTGTTCTGCTCCAGCCCTGGCAGGACCCAAATGTTCTTCAGCCTTGTGAGAAGGCAGCACTGAGGCTGCACAGCCAACACCTCCCCAGGCTCTGCCATGGCTCCAGAACAGAACAGCTGTGAGTTGCACAACACTGATGAAGTATCCTTGGAGCTCTGGGGGCCTGGGAGCCTCCTGGAAATCTTTCAGGTTCCTGCTCCTGAACAAGCTCCTGGCCCAGCTCCACTCTGGCATCGTTCTGCACAAATTCACTTAAGGTGCCGTGGGCTGACAGGATGAATTGTACAACAAATCCCACTTGATCTCCAACACAACATGAAAACAGGATTATTTCTACCATGGAAGATCAGGACAGAGAAAAGCTGATTATAGAGACAGCAAAAATGAAACATAAAAATAAATTGTGTTTAGTATTGTCCCTCTGTCCCCAATGTCTCTTTTTCCATCCTCAGGTTTCAGCTGTTTCTCTTAGTAGGAAACTCATTTCTTTCTTCTCTACTTTCCACCAACACACTTAATTTTGTGCTTTTTAAATCAGCTTCCTGTGACAAAGCTTGTTTGATCACACTGCCAGCCCATCCAACCAAGGATCACTTCCAACCAAAAATAATAGATGTTTCAAAAGATACTAATTTCCCAGGGGTTTGGGGGTGGGGGAAATATCCACAGCCACACAGAAGAGAGGAACACACAGGAGCAGAAAGCCAAGAGCACTCCCAAGAAGCAATGACCAGGGAAGCTCCAGTAGACAGGGTTTATATTTTTATTAAAATACACTCATCCATTTTGGCAGGATCCTTTATCAAAACCAGAATGCCTCCTCCTCTCATCAGGTTCTCAGCTCTGCAAGATGTTAGGACTTGCAAGTCCCAGGCACCACAAGTGTGAACCTGGTACTGACAGAACCAGAGCACACAGCCTCAAGCTGCACCAGGGGAAATACAGGCTGGATAGCAGGGAAAAGTTTTTCACAGAAAGAGTGAGAAAGTTCTGGAATGGCTGCCCAGGGAGGTGGTGGAGTCCCCATCCCTGGGTGTGTTTAACAAAGCCTGGATGTGGCACTGGGGGCCAGGGTTTGGTTGAGCTGTTGGGGCTGGGTTGGACTCAATGACTTTAAGGTCTCTTCCAAGCCAGACATTCTATGAATTCTGTGAATCTGGGGCATTTGGCTACTTGGCAAAATCACCCAGGGAGTGACACCAGAAAGGCAGCAGATGACACATCTCTCTGCCCTTCAGAGACACATTGCCAGGGCTGCTACGTGGCCTTGGCTCCAGCCTGTGTGGGGCAGAGAGGAACCTGGACTTTCAGTCTTAGCACAGCAAGTTCACTGCTCAAGGAGATGAAACAAAAAAAAAGTTTTGAAAAGGGAGAAATAGAAAGCCTGAAGGTCAACACGGACCACCCAAAACAATTCAAAAGTCAGGAGAGAAAGCAAATGAAGAAGGGACAAAGGAATAATTTAGCTGTGTTCAGATGGTCTAGACACTGCTGTTATTGTTGGCTGCACTAATAGGTCATTGCTAAGAGGCACTTTATGGTAGTTCCATGAAGCTGCTTCCTTCAACACTGAATTAAAAAAATAATATAAAAAAAAAGGCAGCAGCTGGATGAAGCCCACAGAAGCAGAGCAGATCCTGTACAACTTGGTGAGCTCTGATTTGGGCTCTC